TCAATTAAACTAATATTTCTTTCTGCGCAATCGTTGGTCACACTAAGATTGCAAACTAACTGAGCAAAATTTTTGTATGAATCTAGCGCTAAGAAATCACTTGAAGTATGCCACTCTCGAACAGATTCGGTGTGACCTGTAAGTATAAAAAATAGCCAACTCTCCTTCGTAATTAAATCCTCTAATCGACTATCACTGGTAACATTAACAGCAGAAGGAGCTGTAACAGAAATCTCTGATAACTCAGGAATTGGAAATTTTAAAAGTTTCTGAATGATTAAACGCTTAGCATCTGCTTTCATATAAGGATCACCTAACGATAGTACGACAACTTTAGGAGACAAATACCATGTGTGGTTACTCATGCTTTTTTGAAGTGAGTTTCCAACTTCATAATCCCATTCTGTTTTAATTGTTTCAGCAATTTTGAATGCATTAAAATCATTCAGAACAGCATGCTCTGCTTTGCCTGAGTTAAGAAAGGCAGGTCCATAATAAATAGCAACAATAAATGCTACCCTTGAGACCATATGTTTTTTTTCAGAAGACAGATATTCAACGACTGTGGATGTCATATCGAGCATTAGAAAATATTTTGCATAGGCCATAAACCTTGCATTGTGACAGGCGCCAGACTGATAGATGTGAAAATTATTTAATTTCTCAGACTTAACATTCATGTAATACGCCAAGTATTCAACAAGATGCCTGTAATCATTCCTAAAATATTTCTAATTTTATTTAATAACCAGATTATTAAATAAATTATTTAATAATCTGGTTATTAAATAAAATTATAAATTTATTGCACCAGATTTCCATCCAGTGTTACTTACTGTGGTGTCAGAACAGAATCCTACAATATAGTCACAAATTTCAAAATATTCTAGGAGATTCATAATACTTATAGCCATATCGATTCCCTTACCACTATCAGTTGGCACAACACCGAGTAAAAGATCATCTTTGGTTTCAAACTCTGGGCTAGTAACAGATACTGATAGTCTATCTGCAGTAGTTGCCTGTCTAGTGTCGTCCTCAATATGCTTTAAAACTTTACCATCAAAATGTAAAACTAACATTTTGTTAGCCATTAAATTAACATATTCATTACGTATCTGGCCTCCATCCTCTTCTAAAAATCTGTAACGTCGCCTTCTGACAGATTCTCTGCTTAACTTTAGCTCTTTAACATCTCCTCCTAAATAGTTTACTACGCTTGCAATAAGAAGGGTTTGATCTCGAATGCTGAGACCAGCCCTTATACTGGTGGAAGTTGTTGCTGCAATGAGACCTTCACTGGTTATCTCCTTTTCTACTCTGAAATATGATGGTCTAAACTGATGCCTACTTTTTGAGCTTGCTTCGTGAAAATTAACATTTTTATTTGGGATAAAATCTTACGACTTAGCAATTACACTTCCAGCATCTAAATTAATATAAAGATTCTTAGCTTAGCTATACATTTACTTCAAAAAATTACTAGTTTTGCCTAAAATGTCTGTGCATTATTAGAAAAAATTGTTTATATTCTCTCTTTTTATTTAGTCATAAGTTGAAACTAATATTTTTATGTGTTTAACAAATTATACTTAAATATTACCTAATTGTGATTCAGCTCTTGTTTTTTTAGGTTCTGTAGGATCCTCACTTGCGAAACTGAAATTTATATCATTGTTAGGAAAAAAGTTGTGATTCCATTGCCTTTTTTCCCCAATTTTTTCTTTGTTGTCATGAATTATCGAATCATTGCTCTTCTGTACTCGATCTTTATATTCTTCTTTCCTCTTGCATCTATCAATCTTTCTCTGAAACCTTGCTTCAAGCTCTGTCTCAATTTTAGAAGATATGATCATATTTCTGTTAGTTCTGTGCAAAAAGTTGTTAAAACACTTAGCGTAAGATAAATTTGAATAAAAAAATAAAATTTCTCAAAAAAATGATTTTTTTATATAAGGGAAAAATTATTAGATATATCATAATTGAAAAATAGGTTAAATCTTCGCAAAAAAATTTGAGCAAAAAATACCTTTGATCATCTAAGAAGGCCAAATCCTCTTGTAAAGCAGAAGTATCACAAGGCATTGATTCATCGCGTCTCAACTTCATCTCAAAGTCCTTTGCACTGATGTCAAACAATTGCTCTACCATATTGTAAAAGTCATTTTTGTGGCGTTCGGAAATTTGGTTTTTGATTTGAAAGGTTTTACTGTTTCACAAAGTTTTGTATTTGCTGTATAGAGATTTAAACTTTTCCACTATACTTCTCTTAGAAATTAAGTAATTACTGAAACCAGCAGACTTCCAAATATTTACAATTTGTCGGAGTAAACAGTATTTTTCGGTATTTGAATTACAAAACTCGTCTTTCCCTTAACATATAACATCCTCTTGTGCTCGAGAACATGAAAAGTTTATTTTGATAGGTTTGAATCGCTTATCTCTAGCTGAAGTTAGGAACAAGTAATATCGAAGAACACTTCTATTTGATGGAAGTTGGTTTGTAGGTAGATAGCTTAAAGGCGAGTTAAGCAGGTAAACAGACTTCCGAGCGTTATAGCTAATTTCTTTTGTTTTCCTCTCTTTGATTTTCAACATTTTGTACGGATATGTAAACAGTAAAAAAAAATCGAAGTTTAAAGTAAGATAATTAATAAATCAAAAGTTGCCAAGTGATTAAACACAATCCACTAAGTTTATGGTGCAATTAAAGTTTTTAAAAAATAGTTGTGAATGACCACAAATGTTTTAAAAACATCTTGAGTTTTTGACACATGTTTTGAAAACTTGCTGAATGATATGAAAATAATAAAATAATGTGAAGAAAAAAAAAAAGGCTTGGAACGTAAAATTTTTAAATTTACATGTAGCTCTTCCTGATCACTTAGGGATCTAATTTTAATTTTGGGATTTTTAATTTTGTGTCACCCCAATATATATATATATATATATATATATATATATATATATATATATATATATATATATATATATATATATATATATATATATATATATATATATATATATATATATATATATATATATATATATATATATATATATATATATATATATATGGTGGAATTTATTAGCTCGAAACCATTAGTTCTTTATTTTTATTGCTAATTATATTTTTAAATAAAATAATTAGAAAAAAATTGTAAAATACTGTAAATATTTAATTGAGTCTAATTAAATGAAATTTTACAGTTTTTAATAACTTGTAGGCCAATTTAATAGATATTATAAAAAAGGAATGGGGGTGTAAATTATGCTTAGCCTTAAACAAATCTTGCTACGGCAACAGACATCAAGATTCACAAATAACAGAATAAAATAGTTTTTGAAAATTTTGAAAACAAATTATGATAGTTGCTACCTATAGTTATAAAAAAAAAAAAAACTTAACAAAACACCAAGAAAAGTGTTTTTCAAAGGATGCAGATTAAAATAATTTTCTAAAATTTTTATAATCTGCACCACAATATTTTAATTTAATATAGTTCATAACAACTGCCTAAATAAGGCATAAATTTTTATCAATTTTTTATAAAATAACTTATTATAAACCATTTGTTATAAAATTTTTTAACTTATTTTGAACTTGCCTAATTTTGAAAATTTCCGGAAAATTTTCCGAGTTAAAAATTTCCGGGAAATTTTCAACCCTAACACGCAAACTTCATTTTTCACGTGAGTGATTATTTAAATGAGTGATTATTTAAATGTGAGTTATTATATTGTATTATTTATGTTTCTATTATTTGAAATATCACGTGAGTGATTATTTTGTATTTATTCGTAAATTTTATAAAATTAACGAATAAATACAAATACTATTAAATATTTGAATTAAAAATAATTAGGAATTCGTATTGTTCACATGTTTGAGATTAAAGAAAAAGTAATCAACATGTAGCTAATTGTGTTAGGATGGGAAATTGTTGTAGATTTCATTCAAAAGCGGATGCAGAAAAAGATACAAAAAAAATTGTAGGTGTACAAAATGATGCAGCAAGTATTTGTGATGAACAAACAACACCTATTGGAATAACACCTTTCATTTCCAATGTTCAGCCTAGATTAGAATCCCCACCTCCCACACCCCCATTTCCAGATAATACAGCTAAAGTTGTTGTTGCAGTTTATGATTATGATGCAAGATTAGATGACGATTTAACATTTGTAAAAGGTAATTTTATTTTGTTAATTTTTCTGCTAATTAAAAAAAAAATCATACCTATAATGCATAAATTCATTATGTATAAAGACTAAAATTATCTTTGATTATCTTGATTTGTCATGTTTTTACTCGTATTTCCTTAAAATAATTCAACCAAAATTTATAACTATTAATTCATAACATCTTTTTAATTTTCTTCAGTTTTAATCTCAATTTTCAGGTATGAAATCAATTCCATATCAAGTGGCATCATTAGTCTGCATTACTAGCATATAAATTTATATATAAGGTTTTAAATATTGATATTGAGATTTATATAAAAAAAGTTTTTTGATAGATGTTAAATAGTCTATAAAAAATTCTCAATTGTCATACTGTATACAAAAACTTACTACAAAAGTTTAAATCAAATCCAAACCCTGAGTTACTAGGGAGTTCTGAAGTTAAAGCTTTAAATAATATATTTTAAACAGTTTTGTTTTACTTCCAATATCCTTTACTTTCTATCTAAAAAAAAAAAAATTATGTGATCTGTTTTGATTTTCTGATCTAAAAGAAAATGTAAAAAAAAAAAAAAAGTTTTTTTGTTTTAATAATAGCTCAATTTTCTTTTAATAATAGCCCAGTACTTTTCAATAACTCTCAATTTTAGGCAGTTAGGAGGATTTTCTGTTTTAGGCACAAATTTCATATTATTTTTTTATACCATTCCATAGCTAGATTACAATAATGACTTGAAGCTAAATCAGGCCAGAACACAGGTTTGTTATCATTTGATTTAATGAGAGGTAAAAGGCATTTTTGTAGACACTCTTTATTTTTGACCAGAGAGTTTGGATTAAGAAATATAAGATGCTAATTTTTTTGCCACAAAAACTAATTTTAACATGTTGTAAACAAAATACAAAGCAATTAAAAAGATTTTAATATATCCACTGAAAAAAAATTAAGTACTTATTCTTTCACATTAGTTCATGTTATTATGCTTTATTATTTTTGATTTTTAATGGACCATTAGTAAATTACTTGGAATTATTGTCATGCCATAAATCTATAGAAAACCAAAGCAAAAAAATTAAGTAGTAATTTACAATTGCATTTTTAATCACTAAACTTTATTACAGAGTTTTATCACAGTCTTTTTGCTTATTTATTGGAAATAAAATGTTTTAAAATATATCCAACAATTTAATTTTGCTTTCCTTGTTTTATATTTAAATTGTATTATAAACAGAGACATTTCTTAAATGGAGTTGGGGCTGCTGAGAGCATATTAGAATTTTTAGTGTGGTGTTTTTTCTTATTAATAGGGTAAAAAAAAAATGTAACTTCTTTTTTAAAAATTATCTATACTAATTATTACTTCTGTTTATTATTACTGTTCAATGGTTATTTTAGTTTATTTTGTTGCTATTAATAATGTAGATGGTATTCTATCACGTTATGTTGAAATTTGCGCCCGCCATACTGTCTGACAAATAAAATAAACAAAGTGAGCATTTATTAGCATAACTTATTTAATTTAATTACAATTATTTAGATAAGATTTTTAAAGGTTATTTTTGGTAAATTTATGTAGAATTTAATTCTCTATCTCACGATATAATTAATTATGCTTAAAATTGTTTGTTTACTTAAAATAATAACAACATAACTTATTTTCAAAATTATATTATAAGTAATGTGAGAATAAGTAAACTGTATATAATGAACTCCTAAGTATTCAAAAGTAAACTTGATTATTTGTGTTTAAAATTTTAAGGTCTTCTGTTAACAAGCCTTCCCAGGAAGGGCTTGCGATCACTCACCTTTTTTTTCCATGCTTAAAGTAATTTTTTCAGACAACTTGACCGCGTTTTTATATAATAAGCGTTTTGCAGCAAAATAAAGGTATAAGAAACTAGAGAAATTTGCAGCAAAATAAAGCTATAAGAAACTAGAGAAATTTGCAGCAAAATAAAGCTGTAAGAAACTAGAGAAATTTGCCGCAAAATAAAGCTATAGAGAGAATAAAACAGCAATACTCAAAGAAAAAAAATGAATACTATATGAAATAGAAAATCTAAATTAAATAAGGTGAAAAAATATTTTTAAAAAAATGTCAAAAAAATAATATATTCAAATATTTTACTGTTTTTGTTTTCTTATTTTAGGGTGTTTGTTGTTTTCCACTACCAAAATTAATACACTCTGAGGAAAAAAGCAGATAAGGATATAACGAAAGTAAAAACTTTTTTTGAAATACATTTTTTGCGCAACTTTTTTCAGTCAGTATATTAAAAATATACTTTATTAATTGTGCTAGAAACATTGACAAATTTTAGATTTATTTTTCAAATGTTTTTGCTAAACTTAACTGACTTTTCCAATACACAGGAAAGCTAGAAAACTTATTGCTATATATTTGTAAAAAATATATATTTTTTTAACAAGTTTTCCATGTAATAAAATGAAAAGTCATTAATACTTATTTTTGATTATAAAATATTTGGTTGTTTTCACTACCATTATTGAATAGTCTTCATTTTTGTTGGACAATTTTCCAAATTGTGCATTTAAACCTGATAGTTTATTTTCAAAAGCTTGCAGGTTTATTGTTAATATACTAAACTTTTTAACAAAGTTTTAGGAGCCTATTAAAATTTTTTTTGAAGTTTTTAAATACATTTTTTCAAACAGAACAATCGTTATGTTCATTATTACTAGTATTTTGTAATAACATTGGAAACTAGGCAAAATAACAATATAAAAGAAGCAATTTCAGACATGCATCAAATGCGGTAGATACATTTGTAAAAGAAACCATGTTATTCTTTTATTTAATTTACTCTGCCATAACAAAATTTGTTTATCATATAATATATTTTACAAGTAAATAGCAATTTATTTTCTTATTTTCCTATTATATATGTATTGAGAAAAAATTTCAAATATAGCAAAAACATTTTTAAAAGCGTAAAGGCAAATAAATGAAAAAAAATATCTGATTAAACGTAAGAAAAAAAATTAACCAAATTTTTCATAGTTCTTTCGTTCATAGCGAGTTAATTTCTTAATTATATGAACTGATAAAAGTCGTAAATAAATTGCATATCAAAACTTTCAATTGTTGATAAATGTTTATAAAAGATAATATGTTTTGTTTCATCAACTTGTATCAAATTCAGTAGCCAAAAACAACAACCACTCTAAAAAAACAAATACAAAAATTGTATTATAATTTAATTAAATTTTTTTTTTTTTTTTTAGTTTTCTTTAAATTTTTTTTTAATTTTATAGTTTATTTAATTAAAACTTAATATTTTGTGACAATTTTGTTTTCTTTTATTTAGGATTGTTTTTTTTCCTCGGTAAATAAGTGTAGCTTTTTGCCGTGAATTATTAAAACACTTTATAAGTTAAAAGATGCGAACTGCTGTGTTCATTGTGTTTTAAAAAGTTACTTTAAACGTGGACAAACAAGGCATGCAACCATATACACTTCTTGAGAAGGCTTGTAAATATGATTAATATTAAGTATTATTAATATTATAACACATTTGATTTTTTAATTATTTTTGTCAATTTAGCCTCTTCGTCTGTAGTGGCCTTCTCGGCCTTGAGGAGGTGAATTAAAATAAAAAAATAAAAAAATTTGCTAACTTATATAAATCAGACAATAACATATTTTGGTGATTTAAGGATGCAAAATTATTTAGCATGCTTAAATAATTATTTAGCATGCTTAAATAAATAAATTATTAAATTGTTTTAATATTTTTTCTATTTATATAAATAATATGCTGATTTACCTATTAAATTATTTTAGTATCTTCAAAGTATTTAATAATAATTAATAACAATAATTGGCAACAAGAAAAACCACAAACTTAGAAGAGAATGTGTCATTTTAGAGACAGTCAACACTCGTGCAAAATACATAAACATAATTGCAGAGGATTCAAATGATTATAATGTAATTATAAACTTCAACTTGTCAAAAATATATTTTTATCTTTTGCGGTCAAGTCAAGAATGTTTTTCATAGAACAGACTTTATTGACAAATTAACTTATTACATGGTTGCTGTTTATAAGTTGAGATTCAAGAGTTGAATTAAAAGAAAAGTTCTTTGCAAATATTTCTGCCTTATTCTTGGGAGAGGTAATAAGGTCAGACCATTGAATGTGAGATGGAATATTAGGAGATAGAATATTAGTGAGATGGAATATTAGATGGAATATTAACCTTTATTGGTGCTTGTTGAAGATTTTATAAAAGTCTCTAGAGTCTAACTGAGATAAGATTTAGGAAACTGGGAATAATTGAGCTTAGCATCAAACAGCACCTTTTTACATTGATTTCTTGCAATAGTAAATAGGCATTAATTCTCAAGAGAGCTAAAAATGATTGTGATTAGATATAGCAGCTGCACATGAAGGTGAGAACTATGGAGTAGAATGAGCCTTGATTTTGAACCAACAAGAAGGAATAAAAGCTTACATTCTTGCCTTGATCCAAGAGGGTATGTTGGAGGCACATTATTCAGTGGAGAGAGAGAAGACATCAAATCAAGAACCGTTGCAAAGAAAATCTTGAAAAGAATCAGAATTAGCTTTAGGGTGGTAATAAGTAGTGTAATGGTAGAGTGAGTCTCAAGTAGAAGTATAAGATGAATGATTTATGGAGATCATTGCATGAGTGGAACCACCTAAAGGAGAACAAAGAGAAACTGAACACAAGCAAAGGTTAGAGACAAGACACAAATCAAGGAATAAAGCTTTGTGATTAGGGTTGTCTAGAAAACAAGTCATCAAGTTGACTATCTGAGTAGAAGATAAGGAAATACAATTATACAAAAAGTTATGGGTGCCAGCAAAGTCAGTGGTGTTAAAGCTAAGTGGTTCAATGTGATAAATATCAGAGTCACCAATAAACAACAATGTTGGCAGAGGGGTAAAGAAAAAGGGCATAGTCAACTTGATCAGAAGTTACATCTAAATCAGAAATCACATCTAAAATGAATAACATTTTTTTTTGAAAAAAGTAAATGTTTTAAAGAATTGTCTAAACTAAACAAAGTGTCTTTCTTTGAGGAGCAAAGTTTATTTTATAGAAGTTGTTTGTAATTATCTTGATCAATTTTACTTAATGACCTACTAGAATAAACATCAGAATTGTTGTTATCATTTGAACAAGCACACAAAAAAGGTAAGTTTTAATATTAATTAAAATCTTCAGTAACTAATAAATCTTAAACTATTTTTTGTAATTATTATATGTTTTTTTATAGATTCACTTAGAGTTAATACCCAAAGGTTTTGGTGTGATTTTTAATTTAAAAAATCTGCACTAGTTGCAGAAATCCATTGTATCACAAACATGAGTCAGAAAATGAATCCAGATATAGACATTTATGTTGACCCATTAAAGAGTGATACAAATGTCAAGCAATAGATCAACCTGTTTAATGGCTATATCAAGTAGAATGCAGCTAGTGGAATCAAGAGATAATATTGATGAAAGGTTCATAGCAAACAATTCAGCTTTGCCTTAGGTAAGGTGACAAAGTCTAAACCATATAAGAGAGGTGGAATAACAGATTTGCCCTTATTATTCATACTGTTAAAGGCTCTCCAGATGTCACAAGAGCCTTATTTTTGTGATGAAATACAAGATTTTATGACCTTAAAATAGTGAGCTTTGGCGTTAGGCAAAACCTTTTTTTCAATGGTTTCTAGGAATAGTAAACAGACGCCTGTTTTGTGGAATATTGTTTTGCTGACATGAAAGTTACGGTTTCAATTAGAAATTGCAGCAGTTCAATGTGAGAAAAATCATGGAGAAGAGTGAGGCTTGATTTGGAATTGTCAATAGGGAATAAAAGATTCCATGCCAGCCCGAATCCAGAAAGTTATGTAAGAAGCACATTTATCAGAACTTGAGGATGACGATGGTGTTTTATAGTTTTTGGTATTTTAGTCATTTTTAATTTTTTAAAGAACTTGACTCAAAGCATAGATTGTACTCAGTACACTATTTAATAGTTCAAGCAATTGCCTCATTACTATTAATAAACCATAAGCTGTAACAAAGGGTTTCAAGCGTGGCTTTAACAATGCACACCAAAAGTACGAACAGGGATACCACCTATGTGCAACATGGCACTGTTAGTACTCAAATATTTTTCAACTGTTGATGGAATCAGCCTCTCTGAAACCTGACTACCAGCTGGCCTCAGAACAGAGTTTTAAAGCTGTACCCTCATTAGGAGATAATAGAATGAGTTGCTTAGTTATAAAAACAGAGACACAAGCAAAACCCATGCATTGAGTCAAGAAGATCCAACATTCAAGATCCTAAACTGGAAACAATGTATTGAAAATAGATCTGCGTGAGCCTACTAGATGAAGAAGAGGTGCGAGGCTGGTCAACTAATAGAATCTGTTTACCCCTAAAGTCTTTGCCTAGGAGGCTTTCTACAAGACAGTAGCCAGATGCATTTAATATCTGCCCAAGATGAGTATTTTTATTGAGACACCATCTCTAGCCTTTACTCAACCAAGAGCTCTAAGGAAGGGGGTGTTATAAGTCAGAGTTGACTTCTTCTAGCCTTTGCCTAAAAAAGTGTATCCTACAAGGCAGCAGGATATGAAGCAGGTTGTACTGAGTTACATTTTACCAGTAGCTTTTGTATTTTTTTGTATTTAAAGCAAAAAATACTTCTCCCTACTTTAATAGAAGAAAAAAAATCACAACCCTTGGAATTAGGGTTGGCATTCGGCAATGCCAACCTAATTGCCAACCTAGAAGTGCTTTATGATGGCAAATAATTACCGACCTCGTTTCTATATTTTATGGTAAGACCTTTGTATTAAATTTCTTTTGCCCACCTGATGCTTATCTCTAAATGATTGAGGTCGGCAAATTAATACTGAATTAATGAAGTTTTTTATTTGCTTTTACATATTTTAATCTACTATGAAGAGATTTATGTTTTACGTAATGAGTTAGTTATTAGGAAATGATATTCTTCTTTAATAAATATTTCAAAACTATTTTACATTCCTTTGAAACTAAATTTTTTATTTTACATTTTACTATTTTACTTTCCTTTAAAACTAAATTCAAATTAATTCGAAGTCTTTTATATTTAATTCAAAGTTTAATTCATATTTAATTCAAAGTCTTTAATTTAAAAGATGAAACAATATTAAAAGATAATTTAAATATTCCAAAATAAAAAAGTTAATGCTTAACGTAAAACTTAAAAAAAAAGACTCAAAAAATGACTTAGTGAGAGGGTAACCATTCCTCAATTTAGGAATTTTAACAATATTAATGCTGTTGTTTGCATTAAATAAATGAGTTTTGTTGGAGTTGGAATATTGGATATTCCAAGCTGTTACAGAACAGAGATTAGATTTAAGATTGGATATTTGTTCTAAGCAATTGAAAAGTCAAGACTTTTTGTCAAGACAGAAGTATAAAATTGAGCTCTTAGCAGATAGAGCCACTTTCACATCAGGAAGATCATAAATGTAGATAAGAAACAATAAAGGGCCAAAAAGAGAACCTTGTGGTACCCCAAAAGTTACTGAAAATGAAAAAGAATGTTGGTTTTCAAGGATGACTTTAAAACTGCAATTAGTGTTGTGTTTTTTATTTGTGTCATTAATTAGCTAACTAATTAAGGATATATAATTATCAAAATCTTTCTCCAAATTGGGTCAGCAACTAAACTAATAGACATTTACAGAAGTTGTTGAATATTTTAACAATTTAACAATCAAATATAATATTTATTTAGCTGTTTAATTTGTAATATTCTATTTTACAAATGTACCTTGAAATTTTACTAATTATTTTTTTACTAATTAGTTTTTCCCATAATTTTGCCATGGTATGGTGAAAATGTTTTTTGACCTGATACATTTTTGAAAATTAATTTTTTTGAAAAAAATTAATTTTCGGTTCATGCTTTAAACTCTTTAATTATAAAAGTCTTAACTTTAAGTTTTTATTTTGTTTATAATTTTTTTTATAAAATAGGGTACCAGTGCGGCTCTTAAAATAGATTTAATAAACTTTTCCCAAAGCTTTCTGGGATCGAAATACTACATTCAAGGAGGCTCAACTCCTCATTTTTTATTCTTAACTCAAAATTTTTTACTCATTTTTTATTTGTAACTTTCAGCCTTTAACTAAGAAACTCGAACCAAGTAAAACATGGCTGCTGCACAGAGAAACACTTTGAGTGTGTGATACTATTAGAAGTAACTTTTAAGCAAAAAATGTTTGACTCTTAAACAAAAATTAGATGCAACTATTTGTAATGTCAAACAAGTAAAATGAAGAGTTCTAGAAAGGCTTTGGTATTTAAAAAACTTCACAAAAGAAATTAATATTTTTGAGGCAACTGGAAAGTGTAACAAAAATTTAAAATAAAAGTTTAAAGGTTTACTCAGCATTAATGAGTATCAATTTAATCTTTTATGCAGTATCAATTTAATTTATTATGCAGCGGAGCTATTTATAGAAAATATTTATGGAAATTTATAGAAAAAATTTGTTCATGATTAAGTAAATCAATCAGCTGTTTATTGTTTTTAAAACATTTTTCAATTAAAAAAATTTAATTAATTTGCTTATATAAATCCCAGAAATTGCTTATTTTTTATTATAACTTTAGATAAATTAATATACTATTTATGGTGGCACCCTTGGTGAAAACCTTGGTGGCACCTATGGTGGAAACCTTGAGATAAAATAGTTATATATTGGAAACTTTGGGATGCAAACTCTAACCTCCACACTCAAAAAGATTTCCATAACAAAATTTCTAAAATATTTTACATTTTATAGAATGATGTACTTTGTTAGTTTCATACGGAAAAAACATTTTTTTTGACACTATGTATTAATTGATTAAGCTTAATTAGGGAAATTTAATAAACTTAAATGCAGAAAAACTTTATGTTAAATCAGAATTTTATTTTTGTTCAAACTTCATATTTAATATTTTAATCAGGTGATTTGCTTGAAATTAGAGAAGACACTACAGATTGGTGGTATGCTCGATCAAGAAAAAATGGAAAAAAAGGTTACATCCCAGGCAATTATGTTGCTCCAATACAGACATTAGAAGCTGAACCGTAATTTTTGTTCTGTTGAGTTTATTTTAAAATGTATTGTTTTTTTAATGCTTCATATTTTTAACTTAATCTAAGTTAAAAGTTTTGAAATTAATTTAAAATCGTATCATTTTGTGACAAAAAATTCTTCTCTACATACAAATCTTTTTCTTATTCAAACTTTATAAAATTTTTTTCTATATTTTAATTGTGACAGTTTTATATTTTTAAAAGTGACATTTATGATTTCTCCAAACTTTTTGTGTGATTTCTTGAAACTTGTGTGTTTTCTAAACAAATTATACATCAATTTTATTTGATTCTATAAATGTTTTTATAAATTACTTAAAAAATGCTTTACAATTTCCCATAGAATCTTTCCAAGCTTCTATATGATTTCTTTATTTTTATTATTTGAAATGTGATTATTTACTAAATAACTAATGTTTGTGTTATAAATTAAACATTAAATTTTATATACTATAATTTTACTTGAATTTCAACAGTTTCAAATTTTAATGTTAATAATTATCTTCCTCTCATTTGCAATGTTTCTCATTTGTAATATGCATGACAAAAAATAAATAAAAGTATTACAGTAGGATGAAAGTTAAAGAGCAATAAAGCAAAGTTGACATTGACAGAAGGCTTAAAAACTGTAAGTTGTATGAGTCAGGAAATTATAAAGATGGGAGAGAATTCTGAAGCATTGATGTTTAAAAAAATATATTTAATGAATAAAAGTATATTGCGCACTAAAAAACAGTTATAGTAAAAGAAAGTTTTGCTGAATGACAGGTAATGCAAGATTGAATTTTAATTGATGTAACAGGTGATGATAGGTTGCTTGAACAGTAACCACAGTAGTATTTGTATAAAAGAGAAAAAGATGCAACCTTACATCGATTGGTATGATGCTCAAGCTTAGCAGTAAGAGCAGGTCCAACAACATTTACAATGTATTTTTAGGCCTTGGCCTTATAAAAGCAACCAGACTAAGTATGATTATACTATTCCATATAAGTACAAATAAGAGAATTATTTATTTTATGAAGAAAATCAGGAGTAAGAAAATAGTAAGCTCAAAAATTGGCAAATATATTCATTGAAAAAAATTGTCGATATTTTGCCATGGATTGTATATATGGCTGCTTTTTTGTTGGAGCAAATTTATTGGATTAATAGTTTTATACTTGGAATGATGTTATTTTTACATGGCAAAAATTTATATAATCTAAATTATTTATATACTTAAAAAAATGTTAAATTAAAAACAAATATATATATTTTTAAATTTTTCTGAAAAGCATATTTTTATGGACTATTATATGGATTGCTCAGTGCACACTTTGATTCCACTCTTTGACTTCGATTCTTTGAAAAATCTTTAATTTAAGCGTCAGCGTATTTACTCGGTGTAGTTGTGGTGTAGTGTAGTTAAGGTGGTTTACAAATTGAAATCTTTTACTTAAAATTAGCATGATTTTATCAGCATGTTGTGTCCAAACAAGAGCTTTAGAAGTTATAATTTTTTTTTCTTCAGATTTTTTTAATATTTGAATAAACCTTTTTTTTTTTTGTACAATTTTCAAAACATTTTTACTACCTCTAATATTGAATCTAAAGAACACCGTTTTTAGATCACTTTCACTCATTGGCATTAACATGAATTTAGTTAAAATCTTTTAAAAAAGTGCCTCAACCCACTATAGATCCTAGTTCTAATTGGTTCAAGCGTATATTAACAATATATAGTTATTAAAGTACAATATTTCTATCAATTTTCACAAAAAAATTGACCAAGAAAGAGCATATAATTAAGAAAAATTGCCAATAAACAATCAGAACAGATCATATTGTTAATCTATGATGTTCATTTTACCTAAAAAATGTTTTTATTTAGAATCTTATTCAAATTTGGACAAGTGATCATGAATTTAAGAAGATTTTATTTTAAAAAAAGAATCTTTGGTCTGGGTTTTTTTGCTACAAACATTTATATTTTACAGCAAAATTTATCATTTTAATTTTTTGCGTCTTTTTATAATTCACAGACCTGATCATTTAACAGAAATATGTCATATTCAACAAAATATCATACAGGCGCTATAATATTTTAAAATTGCCTTAACTACACAGAGTAGTCATAGCATTTTGCATTTTTAATAAATTTCCCAAATAATAAAAATAATTTTTTTATCACAAAAGTAATTTTAAAAATCAATGTGTATTATTTCATCGCTTTTCTCCATATTTATTTTTATGGAGTTAACCAAAGAGTGCACTGGAAGGCCTATATAGAGTTATTTTTCCAAACTGTTTGTTAAATATGAGGTTAGAAGGTTTTTTTAAATTATAACAACCAAAAAAAGAATTGTCATTTAGTTATTTGTTATTTTTATTGCGTTATAACTTACTTTCTACAATGACTTTGTCAATCACACTGATATTGTCTGGTTTAAAAATGATATCACCAATGTAATTGGAACTGAGAACAATTTATATTTTATGTTTTTTGATAGAATAAATTTGTCTTGTTAAGTATTTTGTATTGAAATGAGACTTGTTCTAATGATTACAGAATCTAAAAAATATTTTAGGTTGTCAATCAGACAAGCCTAGATCATAGCCTCGTGGCTAAGATCCTATACTTTGTTCTATATTATAGAACAAAACTTTCAAAAGTTGTTTAAATCTATTTTAATTATTTTTATTATTGATTATTAGATATAATATACCTTTAAAAAAGACCTTATTAGATATAATTCTAATATATATTTTAAAAAAGACCTTTAATAAAAGATATAAGTGACTATGGGGCAGTGGTTAGAGCACTTGCATTAGAAGCAAAAGATTCAGGATTTGAAGGGAGCTCTGGGCATAATTAGCTCCATAAGTAAGGAAAGAGGTGTGAACTTCCTTGTTAAAAACTCTTCTGCCCTGCTTTGTGACAAGACCAACAGATCTTCTTGGGGCACCGAAAAAAGTATATATATTGAAACCAAAGTAAAAAAATTTTTTTTTTTAAGTTGATTAATTATTTTTGAAATTGTTTTTTTATTTTAAAGTATTGTTCTATATTCTAAAATGTTAAATTTTTGTTTAATAAAATCTAAAATTTTGTTGTTTTCTTTAAATTGTAGTTTTATACTCTCTATTAGCCTTGAAATTTTTTGTTATGACTTTAACAGGGTGGCCACCGCTCTTCTAAAATCCTACAAAGTCCTTTTTTCTAAAAATCCTCTCTAAAATTCTCTATAATCCTCTAAAAAGTTAATAATTTGATCAAATCTCCTCCTTAACTCCTCTTTTTTAGTTTTTTATTTCTTGATGGAGAGTTAAAAATACCTGGTCTGCAAAACAGGTTATCGCCTAAAATGAGCATTGTGTTGTAAAAAATTAGTTTTAGCTAATCTGTGTTATCTAACATACAAAATGACATAATAGGTTCAACACACATAAAAATATGTGAGTTGAACCTATAAAAAAAAGTGTTAAAAATCCTCTATTTTCAAAGAAAATTTTGTAGTTTTGTGAAAAAAATCCTCAAAAATAAATATGAAATCTCCTCTGAAATCCTCTAATTTACTCTTTTTCTTATGAAAATTTTACATGGCCACCCTGTTTAAATGTCATTTTGATAAAATAATTCTTTCATCCATCAAGTACAAATAAGAAAAAATCAATTATACTATACAAATATTCATCCGTTTAATATAGTAGCCATCTTTAGAAATAGTTTATTATATTTTTAAACATTTTTCAGGTGGTACTTTGGTGACATAAAGCGACATGATGCAGAAAAACTATTAATGCAAATTGGAAGCCAAGATGGTTCTTTTTTAATACGAAAAAGTGAAAATAAGAATGGACAAGTGTCAAACTGTTTTGCATTGTCTGTTCGTGATAAAGAGTTAATACGTCATTATCGTATTAAAATCACTGACAGTGGAAAATATTTTATTTCTTTATCAAAAGAGTTCAGCACCTTAAATGAACTAATAGAGTTTTATAAAATATCCTCTGATGGATTAAAGATAAAGCTGTTAGAACCTTGCAGAAAGGTATGTATTATGTTTAAGGTTTGCAGCAAGTTATGCAAGCAATCAGTAAAGTATTTTGAGTTAGAGTTGCGAACCCAAATGGTTTTGTGTCGTTTTTTTATGGAGGCTTTTTTTTTTTTTTTTTTTTTTTTTTTTTTTTTTTTTTTTGACATTCAAATTTTTATTTACTTATTTTTTAATTTTTTTTTATTATCTTCAACTTTTATAAAAAGTTTCTTAGTTTTGTTTGAGTTTCGAGTTTTTTTAGATTTTATGAGTTAAAATTAGTCTATTAATTAATTTAAGTTATTTAAGAAATTATTTGTTAACAAAAGAGCTGAATTTTTTTGATTGGAAAACTGTTTGTTCTTTTCAAAATTAAAATTTTGTTGACAAACAACATTTAACGTTTTTTTTTTGTTAAAGTTCATCTACAGAAGAATCAGAAAAATTTTTGAATAAAAAGCTCACAGGCATTTTCTTTCTTCTCAAAATGTAGCAACATACATTATTACTCACTATTAAGTTTGAAACCAAAGTACTGATTACAAGTTTTGTACTGATTACAAGTACTTTATTGATAATATTACTAATTGTACTGGTTGCTACTGATTACTGGTTGTACTGAATATTTTGTTGCACTGATTACAAATAATATGATAACTTTGATAAAAATTCTGCTTAAATGCTTGTTAACATCTTAAAATTGTTACTTTCTAAAATAGTTCTATAATTTAGTTGAATAAAATTACATTGACCATATAAAATAAAATAAATAATAAATTTTTTACAAATTTACTGTTGATATAATTCAAAATAAACAAGAGCATTAGAAAAAAAGTTAAACTTTTTTTATAAATGTACTTACATTTAAAAACAATATTAAACAATCATTAACATGCTTTTTATTCTAAAACAATTTATGCGTAAAGTTTCTTTTTTCAAACTAATACAATACATTAATGTAATATTATTTATAAATCGTTTAATAATTTAGAATGTCTACAAAGAAAATCTATATTAAAGAAACAATGAAACAAACAAAAAAAAAAAAAAAAAAAAAATTAGTAATTCTCTGTTATTTGTATTGTTAAAAGAAAAAAGTTTCTTTAAATAAAGTTTTTTCTATAATTTTCATTTTTTTTATTTTTAACTTGATATAAAGAATATAATTAAAGAACAAATACTAAATTTGATTGATGATTCATTTAATAACTTAATAGGAACTTAAAAGTCAATATTGATAGAATTGTATTGCGAAATGAAATCAATAAACCTTTCCATAAATAAATGTCTGAAAAATTCAAAACAAGGATTAAGTTGTATCGTTGGTAAACAAACCAAATGGCTTCTAATAAAAAATCTGTAAGAAAATTTTCTGGATTTAATCGAAGTTGATTTAATCGAAGCTACAATATTGAATGTTGCAGTAGTTATCATTTTAGAAGTAGCCATCTTTTAAAATGATACTTAGTATACATCTATATTTTTTTCTTTATCAACTTTGAATGGTTTATATCTTCTTTTTGTAAAACAATTAACTCAGGAAATAAGTTAACCGCACTATGTATATTTACTAAATATTGTAGATAAAAAGTAAACTTCACTAAACTTTATTTTGAAGTCTTCAGTTTAATTAAACTTTTGACTACATATATAAAATGTAAAATGATGAAATTGTTTTTTGTTTATTCAAATGGTACAACTTAAGCCTTCACTTGATATGCAAATATTTATTTATGAAAAGGTCTACATCGATAAGAAAAGTAGGAGTTTGTGAAAAGAAAACAAAAATAAATTTAATGCTGTTGTTTTTTTGGGCCAAAAAACAAGAAACAAAATAATTTTTGGAGCTACAAAACTCTGGAGTCTAGATACAAATAATAAATATTTTACTCTGAATCATGAAGTCCGTTTTTAGATTTCTCATTCCTTTCAAGATATAAGTAAGTATATAAAATATAAGTATATAAAATATAAGTATATAAAATATAACAAGATATAAGTATATAAAAACAAATAAAACTAAGTATGCAGAGTTTGCGGCTAGGTAACTAATTATTTTATGTTTGCAGCCAGGTAATTAAGTATATAAGTTTATAGCCACTAAGTATACAATATTGCACTTAGGTAATTAAGTGTATAAGTTTTGCAGTGAAATGTTAAGTGTATAAAAATTAAGTGTATAAGTTTTTTGGAAAAATGTTTTAATGAGATTTTAAAATAAAAATCATTTTATTTGTTAAGAAACAAGTTCAAACATTTGGTTTATCTCATAAAGATAAATGGGAAATCTCAAGAGATTCATTGGAATTTCAAAGTCGTGTTGGGTCAGGGCAATTTGGTGATGTATACAAAGGAGTATGGAATAGTAAAATACCTGTTGCTATCAAATCATTAAAACCAGGATACATGGATAAAAAACAATTTCTAGCTGAAGCTAATTTAATGAAACAATTAAGACATCCTAAACTGGTTCAACTCTATGCAGTTGTTACCATTGAAGAACCATTATTGATTGTTACTGAATTTATGAGTAATGGCTCTTTGCTTGAATTTCTACGACATAATGAAAGTAAAAAGTTACTGTTTAAAGAACTTATTGATATATGTGCAGAAGTTGCCCAAGGAATGGCATTCCTAGAACTAAAAAGTTTTATACATCGTGATCTTGCTGCACGAAATATACTTGTTGGAGAACACAATCTGGTGAAAATTGCAGATTTTGGTATTTGTCATATTTTTAATTAAAATAAATGTTGTTGTATGCTAGCTTAGGTGACATTACTACTTCTCTGGCCTGCATTACAATCCTCTTAGAAAGGGCAGCTAGTGCTCAGTCAGTTTGTCTAATAAAAAGTCATTTTTTGTTAACTCATCAGATGAATTGTCATTTAGGCCAGAGAGAAATTATTATCCAACACTTTGATGACAAACATTTTTAATAACTACACCTTTTATAAATTATACAACTTTTGCGTTTAAGTTGGTCAATTTTCACTTTAATTTGGCATTTTTTGACTTTAATTTAGTAATTTCGATTTTAATGTGTAATTTTTTGAAATTAAATTGGCTGATTTTCATTTTAATTTGGCATGAAATTTTTATCAGACAATTTTAAAAATTTAATAGGCAGAAGTTTTCCAAAATATTTTACATGAAGCTTTTCATAATTTGAATGTAATTTATTTTTTCATATTTTTATTTTATTTATAATATTTTCTCCATAATTTAATTTTGACTTTTTTTTTGTGAGGTGTATGTTTTGTGTGCCAAATTAAAATGACAATTAGTTAAAAAAATTAAAATGAAATTTAACAAATTAAAATGAAAAAATGCCAAATTAAGGTGAAAATTGGCAAAAAGGTGTATTAAATTATTATAAAATTATCAAAATATGTATATTTTATTTTAAATGATATATTTTAAAAATTAATTGAAAAATATGTATGTATATATATATATATATATATATATATATATATATATATATATATATATATATATATATATATATATATATATATATATATATATATAAATTTATACAATAAAAACACAAATGAAATATATATATATAATTTAATATATATAATATATATATATATATATATATATATATATATATATATATATATATATATATATATATATATATATATATATATATTTATAAACTTATACTATAAAAACACAAATTTTGGTAATAATTTAAAATAAATAGTATTTGTTATATATTTATAAAAAAAATTGTAAAGTTCATTATTAATGCCATAAACACATTTTAATCTATTAAATCATCTTTCTGTTTTAATTAATCAAGCTTTAAGTTGATAATACAAATCAAGCTTTAAGTAGATAATATATTTTTAAGGTTTATCACGTTGTGTAATTGATGGTGATGGTGAATACAGTGCTTTGCAAGCGTCTCATTTGCCAATCAAATGGACGGCTCCAGAATCATGTTTGTACAATCGTTTTACAATAAAATCAGATGTTTGGTCTTTTGGTATTTTAATGTATGAAATCGTTACATACGGTAGAACACCATATTCTGGTATGACAAACACTCAAGTAAGTTACTTTGATGACTCATATATTTATATAACTCCATTATTATTATTTTTGAACTTTAGCCTGATAACATATTACCAATATTATATATGTATGATATTGCTTTTAAAACGTAATGGAATTATATTAATAATAAATTTTTTTTTTTACATATAAACCCCCCCCCCCCCCCGCCTTACCATACTCAAAGGTGAGTGGTCTCTATAGTCATGGAGTTTACTCTTTTTTAAAAAGTTGTAGTTAACACCCTTTAACTGCATTCAAACACATTGGCTTTTTTTGAAATATTTACTGTATCAAACATCCTATACTTTTTGATTTTTTAAAGTTTAAGTAACATTTAAAATGGGATTATTCTCTTTGACAGGTAACATTTTTGGCAAAAATAGAGCTAGTTTGTTGCCCAAAACTGGATAGCGACTCTTTTTGCACCACAATATTCCTAAACTCCCAGAAATCTTTACATATTTGATTACTGCAAATAAAACTACTTTTTTTAGTGTTTGTTAAAAAATATGAATTTTTTACCTAGGTTTACTTTCATTTCCTCATTGCCCTGTAAGATAATGATTTTTTGATTTAATTTGCACAGTCCGTGTTACATGTCTTTAAAAAAAAAGGTAAAAAATACATTGCGGCATTCCAGCCTGAAATATTGTAATATCGGCCGGAACTGGAATTACAATATTTGTATGATTTACAAATGTAATATAAAATTGATAAAAACAACTGAAATTTAATTTTTTAATTATTTTTTTGATTTCTAAATCATACTAAACAGGGAATAAATCACAAATTGTAAAAAAAAATTATTTTCTCACTAAAATATTATTTAAACTTTATAGCATTACTATCAGTTAAAAAAAGTAACTGGTCATCACAGTGCAAACACAAGCAACGATTTCTAATAAACTATTTAATTACAAAATTTGCATCTATATTTTACTTTGTTGCCATACCAAAGTGAAGTTTTTTATATATATGACTATATATACATATACATGACTCAAACGCTTTTGAAAAAAAAAATTGTTTACTTTAATCAGTTATTTTTTACATAAAAACTTATACAAAAAACTTAAGTTTTTTGAACAAAGAAAAAGTAGGGTATTTAATCCGTCTTTTTTAATTTACATTTTTGTTTTACTATCAAATATGATAAAAATTAAAACATTATTTGTACAGTTGTATTTTAGATCTGATTTTAGTAAAGTTTAAGAAGTTACTTTTCAAGGTGTGTCAAAAAGGTCAAATGTGAAAACCTTAAACATAAGTAAACAATTTTATTTATTATTAAAACACTAGTTTTATAAACCTATGTTTTTAATTATAGGCACTCCAGAAAGTTCAAAACGGATATCGTCTTCCTTGTCCTGATGGATGCCCAATAGAGTTTTACAATATAATGCTAGACACGTGGAATGATATTCCTGAAAATAGACCTTCATTTGAAACTTTGCAGTGGATTTTAGAAGATTGGTTTCAAGAAAATAGATACTTAAACACAAATAATTTATAATATACACTTTGCTAGATGAGATAAAAGATGAAGATCTTTGAAAGATGAGATGTCTTCAAATTTCTATGATCTACTGGTTTATTTTAAACAAATATGGTTATTGTTATTATATGAACGTTAGTATGTCATTTTTCTTTGATTTTTATGCGAAAGTGAGTATATATTGTATACAAAGAAGGTTGTAACTGTTCTAACTAAAGTCCCTGGTAGTATTTTGCTCAACCTGTTTTTCTGTAATGCAGTGTTGCATACTAAAATTAATATTTTAGTATTATAGGAATAATGAGAGAGTAAAAACGAGAAAAAATCCATAGGCTTAGGGCCTAGGAAAATTTTTTTCACACTCATTGTTTCTATAAGCTTTTAAAAATTGGTGTATTGTGAATTGTGAATTTGTGGTTGTTAATTTTTATTGAGATAGGAAACGAAAAACAATGAAAGACTTCGTTTGAATTATTTTTTTAATGGCCACAGGGGTTAAAAAAAAATTAACAAAGATATTATATTTTTTTTAATTATAAAAGTTAATTATAGTGAATCGGTGCAAATTGAATTTTGTTATTTCCAGTTATTTCCATTAATTCATCGTAGTAACTTATTAAACATTTTTCAAAATTGTGTTATTTGTATTTTTATAGTTTTCTGCCATATGAATTATGTAAATTAAAAAAATGATATAGAATGTATTAATTAGATATATTATTATGAATTAAATTATATTTTTCTAAATAATTTCTCAATATATTTTTATCAAATAAAAATATTTTAATTTCTATATTGTTTTCTTGGGTTTGGAGATTTATTATCTGAAACTTTTTTTCTTTGAAAATAATTTTTTAATGTTTTTTACTTCTTTAAAAATGATTTTTTAATGTTTTAAGTTCTGAAAAGGATTTTTAGTAAATATATTTTTAGAATTAACCAACAAATTTAAAAGCGTTCAAAAGATTTTCTTGACTAAATATTTTGAAGTATGATTTTTGTAATTTTATTTGTTTTAGAATAGAATAATAAAATTTAGAATAAGATTTCATTTTTATAATTAAAAATTTTTTTGATCTCGGCTTTGTTTTATAGTGAAGTGCTTAATCAAGGAACAGATATTTTATTCTCTAGTATTAACCAATTGTACAATTTATTCTAGTTTCCTTGTATTATTTTTCTTCACAGATTTGTGAATTCCTTTTTTTTTTTAAAGATTTTAATTTTAGTTATAAAATTATAAGCTTTTCTATATTTCTCTATATACTTCTAATTTTTTTATATTTTTGAAACAAATTAACAAAAAAAATTAAACGTTATTTTGTCAAAATATGTCGTGTAAATTTTAACTAGAAATAATTTTGAAATACTGTACAATTGAGAATTAAAATGTCTTTTTATTCTCGTGTCTTTATCAAGTTTCTTTTCTTTTTGAAAGAAATAATTTTGAAAGGTTTCTCCTGGTTAAGTGAATTGTTTACCTGGTTATTTTTATTTCAAAGATTCTGCGAGTTTTATTTGATGACGGTAACCTTTTATAAATAAAATTATGGAAACTATGAGAAAACAAGAGCCCAGTACAATTAAACATAACCGATCCACGATTATCCCAATGCATTTCCAAAACTCTTCGTTACTTCTTGATTCAGTTTTTTGCAACGATCTTGAAACTAATATATTAATATCTGAACTCAGTTTATTTGTTTCGTACTTTTTTGAACTCTTTCGAATGTTTTTATATTTTTCGTGAAACTTAACGAGGAGATTTTTTTTACTATACGGTTCTTGGTTTTCTTCATCGTAATGTCTTGGCGACTTTGGAATTATATGGTTAACTCCAACTAAGGGACCTATACAATTGAAAGCTAATATTCGCAGCCATTTTGGAACTGGTTGTTGGCGTTTTAAGCCAATCGAAATAATATTAAAGACAAGTGCTAATGAAATCAACCCCATATACAACATCAGTGACTTTGTAATAAGCGGTGACACATCTGAATTAATTGGAGTACTGTCCGACACCATCATGCATAAAAATGTAAGTGATAAAAATGATTCTATCACAAGACTTATTCTTTGTCCCGTTAAGTGAGGCAAGCCAAATGTAAGAACACCTGATAGTGTCATCACTGTACTTGGAATTATTACGTTAATCATAAAATATCCAGGATGACGTCGTAAATTGACTGTAAATACGATGTTTGGATAAGGCGTTGGGCAGCAACTATAACGAGACTTCAAATAATCTTTAAATAGTAAATAATAAATATATAATTAAATTTTTAATAATAAATAACATTTAATTTGTAATTTGAATTTACCTAATTATATTTAATTACCTGTATTTTACAACTTCTCTAACAACATCTGCGCCAAGTAGCTTGAACTCAGTACTGTTTAAGTAATACCTTAAATCAGCAGATGTATTTGTTGGAAACATATCAATGTGATAACCATCAAATGTCCAACTTCCAAATCGAAGAATACATAACTGGTCGTCAAATGGAAAGTATGTTGTGTCAATATTACAGCTGCTTCTGATAATAGCTGGTGAATACCTAATAATATTTCACACATTAGAAAATATGAACCACATTAATAGCTGGTAAATACCTAATAATATTTCACACATTAGAAAATATGAGGCACATTACGCACAGATATATTTACAAATTTGACACCAAATTATTGAACATAACTCAAAACTGTTTTTGTTTTTTTTCTTTTTGTAATACATTGCACTATCCAAAAAAACTGAAAACGTGACTAGTTAAGTTTTAAAAATAGGAAACTTGGTGTTATACTTTTTAAATGAAACCTTTATCCAACTTTCAAGTTTTTCTTCTAGCGAAGCAGAAAATATTGTTTTATTGTGGTGAACCTGCGTACTCTTGAAACGGAAAGAACTTCAAGTGTGCGCAGTGTCTTTTTGAATTTTTTCAACGTAAATATTATATTTAAATTTAGCCAATTTGTCTTTGTTTATGTTTATTTGTATTTTGAATGATTTTATTCTTTCTATATTTAATATCATTTTAGTACAATTTTATTTGCTTTTCACGTAATTTTTCAATCGCAATAAAAGCGTTTAAAAAATACGTGAAGTACTAGAAAATAAAAGATATAAAAAATTTTTAAAAAACTTTTTAGAAGACTTTTTAGAAATTTTTACAGACCACTAAGACTACTTTTTTTATAATAATAAACTAGCAAGAAACTGATAAAAAATATTATCTTTTAATTCTACGTTGGGAAAGACGGACAAAGATGATGAATGTGGCAATAATTGCTTTTCTTATAACAACTCAATAAATTAAAAAATGTGTAAAAATGAAAGTAAAAATATAGCTGTGATGAATGCGACAACCCAGTGGGCACCGTACCAAAAAAAGACGTCTTTTGAACGTTTAAAAGACGTCCAAAACGTTCAAAAGACGTTCAAAAAACGTCCAAAACGTGTATAAGACGTTTAAAAGACGTCTTTTTTGCGTCTGTACCCACTGGGAAGATGGTTTTTCATATAACAACACAATCAAGTTTTTTAAAAATTGTCGACGTGATTTTATAAGTATTAGTTTTTTTTTTTTACTCTAAAAAATTAATTAATTTGGGATGTATTATAACCAAGTAATTCTAATTGTAGTTGGACCATAGACCTATTGTGCTATTCAAATAGGCTTTTTACAAGAGCTGAAGAAGATTTCGGTAAAGGTAATAAGTGAAGATGATTTCAGCAAAAGAATAGATTTTTCTTAAATCAGGTTGTCAAAGTTTAAAAAGATTTCAATTTGCTTAACAAATTTTTTTCACAGATTGTTGCTATTGGACCTACTCTAATCAGTACAAACTAATACCTGTACCTAACTCAAGCCATGATTTTGTTAACGAAGCCATAATTTTCTAACGAAGCCATGATTTTTTAACGAAGCCATGATTTTTTAACGAAGCCATGATTTTGTTAAAAAATTGATAATTAAATAACGTTTTTTGAACTACTGATTATCTGCAACTAGACAAATAAAGAAAAAATTTCATTTGAGCATTTGGAATTATAGGAGCTAAATGAAGAATACGTCCAATAAAAGCAACCTCTGAAAATATTGAAAACATCATTAAAGCTGCTATTTGTTTTTAAAGATTCAATGACGTCATTCACTGTGTATTTTTTGGATTTGTTGAGTATTGGTAATGCTATTCCTGGAAACTGTATAAAAAATACCTTTAAAAGTTTGGTTTTATATACATAACTTTGAAATATAACCAATCGATACGCAACAGATGTAAATGTGAGATTAAAAGAATATTTTCAATCACCAAAATGAATCTTTGTCATGGCAACATAGCAATATAATTAATTGAGGTGACGATCTTGCAGAAGTTGTTGCTGTTATTTTATCTTTCAACATAAGTTGTATTTCTGTGATCAATCATTTAACCATTGGAAAAATTGTACTATTTCGTACGATTATTGTCGTACTCTTTAGTACGATTATTGTCGTGCTCTTTAACACGACTATTGTCATACTCGTTAGTACAATTAATGTCGTACTTATTAACTCGATTTTTGTCGTACTCTTTAACACGATTATTGTCGTACTCTTTAGTATGATTATTGTTGTACTCATATTGTACGATTATTGGATACGGATATTAATTATTCCTGAGCATGAAGTTTTTTTGCTTTTTATTTATTTATTTTTAAGTAATTTTTTTATTTGAATTTTCATGCTATATTTTTCTATACAATGTTTTTTTATCCAAAGGTATTGTTGGCTTAGCATAGGAACAGTCACAAATAAACATTAAACTAATCCAAAGTAGCGTCCGTTATTGACCAACATTTTTGTGTACCAAAGTACTACTCAAGCGCTGAGTTGGCGGTGGCAGGATTTAAACTCGTATCTTTCAACAGTCCGGGTTTTAACTTTTCGTTCGACGCTTTAATCAACTGAGCTATCCAGCCACAAATAAAGTTAAAAGTTATCCAGCTACAAAAAAAATTAACTGACCATGAATTCACATTCATGGTCAGTTAAGCAAAGTTTCTTTGCCTACCCAAACATTTTTTTAAAATAACATTATTTCTAAATTCGGTTAAGAATAGGATATTTTTGCTTTTCTTAAAAAAATAATTTCCTGATATTTTTATTGAACATCAAGAATAACACAGATTTTGGATTTTGAACAAATTAGTTATCACCATTTGCATTACTAAAATCGGCTGAAAATATTAGACTCTGTTTGTAGGAATGTTTGGATGTGACATCTTGATGTCTATATTGTCAATACTGTAATCTTATTTAAAAGATAATTTTACTCGTCATTAGTGGCATCCAATATAAATGGTCAGTCAATGACTTCAGTCAATCTAACATGTGATATAACGGCTAGTCATTGTCAAAATGCCTATATAGGTCTACTGAAGTTCCGCTAAAATTGTTTGCTGGGGTACTACAAATTTATTAGTAGCTGTTTAAGCAAAAAAATTAGGGATAATTTTTTTCTTGAGATTTTGTTTAATGACGTATACTATTGGCTTTAGCACAAATTTTGGGACGTCCAATTGAAGTTTAAAATAGAGCACTAATGGTCATTAGAGATGTAAAATTCATGGTTTAGATTATTTCTTATGGGTAGGAAATAATATTCACCTGTTAATTGGGCAAATTCAAACTTAAATAATGCACTAATCGGAGTGCCTTAGAGATCTGTTGTTGGGCATGATATTTTACTTTAACTATTACTCCGATAATAAAAATTTTCTGTTTGCGGGTGGTTCAACAAGAGAGAGTTCCCACCTAACCCACCTTTCTACCTTCTTTTTTTGTGTTACTTTGTTGTTGTTTTTAAATAATTAAACTTATTAATGAGATCTAACTTTAAAAATTTTTAGTGTGATACATGTTTTTTTTTTATATAAGCATAAGAAGTATTTAAAACGGGCTTAAATATGCTTATACCATAACTTTTATTCACAAATATGCTTAAGCTTTAGCATATTTCTTATATTTATGTTTCCTCTGAGATAAAAATATTTCAATATGAAGATATGCATCAATACTTTTCTAAAGCGTATGTATTCTCATTAGTTTTGTCAAAAACTCAATTGGGGGATTTAAAAAAGGATTTAGCCGAAAACCTGTTTGCTGCTATCCCAGCTAGCACAAATACGTTGTTAAAACATTAGAACAATGTCGCGCGTTTCATTGGCCCAACATCGGCTGCCAACGTTGTTTTTATATCGTTATGGTTACGAATGCGACGTTGCCAACAATTAAAAACCAATGTTGATAAAACATTTATTTAAAGTCGGAAAATGATTATATTTTTTACGTTGATTCAACGTTTTATTTTATACGTTGGCCCAACGTTGTATTTTAAGTTGGCATAACATTGTATTTACGTTGATTCAACGTTGAACTTTAATTGGCAAAACGTTTATACGATATTATTCCGAATTAAATTTTCATTAAATTTTATTTTTTTAAATATATATACAATATATTTTTTGGTAGATATAATATATACATTTATATATACATAAATATATTACCATTTACAGTCAGCATATATTTTTAAAAATTGGGATTCAGTCTGATCATCCAAACAAAAATCATGTTTGTATTGATTGTGGTTTAATATTTTAATAATCACGGAAGATTTTATTTAAGTTATATAATTTCGCTATAACAATGTTTGGTCGCATGCATTGGATCAATGTTGGGTTTAGTTCGTAAAAACAATCAACTTTTTGCAATGTATATATATACACTGGATCAACGTTGATTTATATACATTGAATCAACGTCGAAGTAAATACATTAAATCAGCGTTGGGTTTGGATCGTAAAAACAATCAACTTTTTGCGATGTTTTTACATACATTGGAAAAACATTGATTTTTATACATTGAATCAATGTCGAGATATATACATTGGATCAACGTTGGGTTTAGACCCTAAAAACAATCAAATTTTTGCGATGTTTTTATATACATTGAAAAAACGTTGATTTATATACATTGAATCAACGTCGAAATATATATATTGGATCAACATTGAGTTTAGATCGTAAAAACAATCAAATTTTTACGATGCTTTTACATACATTGGAACAATGTAAATTTGCAAGATGTTTTTAGTTCCGTCGGTAATAATTATATCATTAACCAAATGACGTTGGATCAACGTTGGTTTTGCATTGGAAAAAAGAGCCGACGTTTGCAATGGTTTTACATACGTTGGCTCAATGTAAGTGTGCTAGCTGGGATAGAAGCTGAAATCAAAGATACGCTGAAATGAATAAGTTTAGAAGTAATACAGATTCTTAATTTTGCTTGAATGTTAAATTTTCAAATGTTAAACTCTGGATAATCTAAAGCTGATAGAAAAAATGGTGAAGTAACCATGTTTTTGTTAATTTTAGTATTTTATCAGTTATTCCAAATTTTGATGTCACCAAACAGTTACTTTTTAATCCAATTCATGGTTTATTGGAAAGGTTTGTACCGTTACATTTAGATCTATTTTTAATTTACTGCTAACCAGAAAAATTTTTCTTATCTTGCTTTAACAAATGTTTCAATCATGCATCCTTTAGTATTGAAAAATCTGCGTCATTTTAAGTTTACTCAAAGTTCGAGCATTTTGGTAGTGAATGAGTATTAAACTTTTTTTTTTTGTTTTTTTGCAGTGTTTTCATTTATTATTGTGTATAGATTTTAAAAAGTATTGATAATATCTGATCCTCACTTTTGTTTCTGATTAAGTTTATAGAAACAGTGCTGCTAGGCGTGTCTCCATCGGCAACTGTTTTTTTATTGAGATTTATTATTAATTTTTTTTTTAACACATAAAGGTATTTATTCAAACACATTATAATTGCTTTCTTAAACTATATTTAAACAGTTTTATTCAAAAACTTAATTTTCTTGTCCCCTATTCACTTCAAGTATTTCAATTTTCATTTATTGGAAATATCTGTCTTGCATTTAAACCTAAGCATAATAATAAAAAGTTTTAGAGAATTTAATTTTCAACTTGCAAAGCAAAAATTATGTATATTATGGGTTGCTATTTAATTCGTTTGGCGAAAGACAACCTGATGTTTGTGAAGAGGGGTTTGAGCACAGGTGACTTTCTTTCTGACACAATAAAAATAAATTATATTTTAATACATTTTTTGAAATTTTAACACAAAAAAGGTATTTTTAATTTACAAAAGTTAAATGATATAAGTTATTTTGCAGAATATACAATCAAATTTTCATTTTCTTTTTTAAAGACATAGAACCTGACAGTCTTATATTTCCTAGGTGCGTATTTTAATTTACATGCTCTAATGATTAAAATATCCTATTTTTTTATAATAAAAATCTCTAATGTAAAAATTTTTCTCATTGTAACTATCATTTAAAATGTAAGAACAAATGTTTTTATAAACATGTCTTCAGTGTTACTTCTTTTCTTTATATGGATCCGACAGTACCTTGTCTGGATGCTCCCCCCCCCCTCCTAAAAAAAAACGTGTTATAAAGGCCCCAAAATTATAAAAAAATTTCCTACTAGATATTACTAAAAAAGAAAATTTATTTAAATTTGCAAAAGGACCCCTAAATTTACAAAAAAGGCCCCCTAGAAACCAGGAAACCAGTAATGCAAAGTTTACTAAAAATAAAAACATTGTTGTTATTTTAACTATATTTGATTTTTTAATAATGTTTTAGATTGGAAAAATCATTTTCTAAAGCTGATATAAATAAGATTGAATAGTTTAACTTTTCAAAGATTTAGTACTTAAATGAAAAAAAAGCATTGATATCATAAAGAGTGAAAAAAATCTATACTTATTTATTCCAAGAATTTTCTTTTGAGCAATCGTAAATGGTTAAGAGAAAGCATTTGCAAACAGTAGGTTGGAGAATAAATTAATTAAACAATAAATTAAATAAAAAATTGATCAAATCAAATAAAAGCAAAAGCGAAATCCAAAAAAGTTAAATCAAAATCAAAAAGTTGCTCAATCTTCAAAATTCAGAAAATTTTTTTGAAAAATCATTGCTAACATCTTTGGCAAATTTGGCTGAACCATTTCTCACCAAGGTCCAAGCATTACGTCAACAATTTAATTTTTAGATATAAAATCAAAAATTATGCAACTTTATTTTAGTTCTTTAATAAATTAATCATCAATTAAAATAAATAAGTTTTTATTTTATACAATTTATTATTATTCAAATATTTAGATCACTGAATATGCACCTAAAAATGCGTTTATTAAAAACATAATGTTATTATACCTTAAAATTTTTTTATCTGACCAAAAAGCTTCTAACAATTTACTAGAATTTAAAATAACTTTGTTTTTAATTTTATCTTGAACTTTAGAAAAACAAAAAAAGTAAATTAAAAAAAGTAAATAAAAAAGGTTTTCAAGCTAACCCTATGTTTAAGACGTCAAAATTAGTATTAAAACGTATTTAATACGTTTTTTTATTCCGTGGAATTAAATTTATATTTATCAATGCTAGTGATAAGTATAAACTTATTTTGATATGATATAAGACATTGTATGATGATAAATATGGTAGATATAACTGATATGACATGATAGATATAAACTATAGATATGACATGATAGATATAACTGAAACTATAGATATGACACGATAGATATAACTAAAACTATAGATATGACATTGTATGATAATGTTTGTATTGATATGATATATAATATTGTATGATGATAGTATACTATAATAATATAGTATTATACTTTTCTCAAATGCATTTTTGTTTATGCAAAAGTCAAGAGCTAAATAAATGCATTAAATGCGATGAGCTTTCCTCTAACTTACTTTTTTGAAAAAGTTTAAAATCACAGAAAATAAAAATACCTTTATTACTATTGAGTTTTTTTTTGTTTTGTTTTCTTAAAGACTTTTATTTTTACATTTTTTTTTTTTTTGAACTTTTTTTTTGCATAAAAAATTGTTAAAAACAAAAGAAAGTAAAAAAACACGAATTTTTTTTTTCCCTTAATTTACAAAATCAATTTTTTTTTAATTCTATTTTTGAAACGGAGATTTCTAAGCTTAAGCAAGCACGTTTCATCTTCAATTTTATAATAATCAATTACGCCAATGTCTATTAAAATAAATTAGTGTGCTTTTTATATTATTTTTAAAATATTTGAAATTAAGGGAATTTCTTAGTTTAGTTGCCCGTTATTAGGATTTGTGCATTTTAAGGTAATATTAGACATATCCAATAGACTGTTAAAAAACTGAATGAAAAAAAAACTATTTTAGACTTGCCAAGAATGTAATCCGTCGTATCTCATAATGATTTTGGTTTTAAAACTGTACATAGAGCTACCAATGCCACTGCTTGCACTAGATATAATTCATTGCTAATTTAAAATTTAAAAACTGTAACAGATTTATCAACAACAACAAATATATAAATTAAAAATAGTTATTTACTTTTATATACTTAAAAAATTTTTTTTTCATTTCTCTTTTAACTTGTTACTGTTATTATATTTTTACCTGTTATATAAAACAACATCTGGTACCCAAATTTTTTCAGGACTAACATTAACTACACTGATATTATTAAATTCATTAGGATTCCATTTTAAATGCTGATTATACCATTTCTAAATGACACTCAAAAATTAAGCACATATTTTATATTCAATTAAAAAAGTAAGGGTGACACAAAGTTTGTGGGGAAAAAAAAAACGCAGTGCATTTTTTGGTTCTATCAAACGTAGGAGTCTAAAAAAAAAAAGATTTTCAATTTCTCGGGAAGTGCTACATTTAAGTTCGAAAAGTTGAGTTTCATTTTATTTTTTATTTCTTCGTGTAAAGCAAGTTTTAAAAATAAGCCTTAAAAAATCAAAATCTTTCCAAAATATTTGTGGTCATTTATAATAGCTTTTAAACAGTTTAATTACAGCGTGAATATTGTGGCTTGCATTTTATTCTTGTATTTTTTTTTAAAGTAGCAAATAATTTTTTTTTATTACGTATCCATAGAAAATGCCAAAATTAAAGGAGAGGAAAACGAAAGAGTTTAGCTAAAACACTATTTAGCTATAAGGTTTTTATACCTGCTTCACACGCCTTTATGTTATTTACCTACAAATCGCAGTATTCTTTTGTATTACCTGAACCTGGCCTCAGCTAGAGATAAACTATTCAAATCAGAAGGAGGAGGTGAGTTATTTAAATACAGGAAAATACTACTTACTCCGATAAATTATAAATATTTGAAAGTTGGCAGGTTTCAGTAGCTAATTGATTTCTGAGAAAAGCATATTGGAAAAGTTTAAATCTCTTTGTGGAAAAAATAAGGGTGTGTGCGATGGAAAAACTTTCAGATCAAAAAGAAAATTTCCAACAATTACAAAAATGATTTTTACAATATGATAGAGCAATTGTTTGACATCAGTGCAAATGAATTTTAGAAAAGTTAAAACACGACAAATCAATCCTTCGTGATATTTCTGTTATACAAGAGGATTTGGCCTTCTTAGACAACCAAAGGTATTCGTTGTTAATATATTTTTTAAACATTTAACCATATGAAATAACTAATCTTTATAAAAAAAAAAAATTTATGTTTTTAACAATTGTTTATCCAAAACTAACTGAAGTATAATCATATCTGAAAGTTCTTAATTTGTGGTAATGAAGACGAAATTGGTAAAAAGAGGCGATTGAACCATAGTTCATTCTTTAACGATGAAATAGATCCTGATTTCTCTAATGAAAAACCTATTGCACCTAAAAAATTAACAGCTAAATCACAAGTAGGTAACGTCAAATTTTAATTTTGTTTTACACATAAAAATATTTATTTCATTTTTGCATTGAAAAATAAGAAAGAATGAAAATAATTTTTACTAATAATACCTAGGCATTACAGGTAGAACAATGCAATTTTTGAAGTAAATGTGTGACTGAGCTGGAAATCTTTATATTAATTTAGGTGCTGCATGTTTAATTATTAGAGTTAGAAACGTTTCAGATTTTTAGCATAGGAAAGAGGCCAGATATGATTATGATTATTTAATCACTAATAAGATGTTAGTTGTACATTTGATAAAAAAACTATAAATTATAATATTGAGAAGGACAATAGACAGACAATTATTGCAGACAGACTATAAGTATCGGTAATTAGTCCATGGTTTATATCTTATTTTTAAAATCTTGCGTTAAAATTTGTCGCGTGATCAAATCTTGTGAAAAAAATTTTTAAAAATTGCGTACTGGTATTTGGAAGAGTTTTTTTTACTGACGATTCGCCTGATTGTATAATTTAATTTATAAATTAATAATAATAATAATAATTTAATATATTTATTTAGTTTATTAATTATATTTAGCATAATTTATCCAACTATTTATTATGCTTATATGTATATATATATATATATATATATATATATATATATATATAATATATATATATATATATATATATATATATATATATATATATATATATATATATATATATATATATATATATATATATATATATATATATATATATATATATGTATATATATGTGTAGGTATATATATATTTATACATATATATATATATATATATATATATATGTATATATATATATATACATATATATATATATACATATATATATATATATACATATATATATACATATATATATATATATATATATATATATATATATATATATACATATATACATATATATATATATATATATATATATATATTATATATATATATATATATATTATATATATATATATATATATATATATATATATATATATATATATATATATATATATATATATATATATATATATATAGACAGAGGAATCTCATCAGTTATTCAAATGAACATTTGAAGACCCAAAAACAATTCTACATTTAGTGGCGTGAATCGGAAGTTCAAATAAAAAATGATCATTCTTATTCAAAGTAATTCTTTGAGTCACTGATAATCACCCTCTTCCTTCCCCCCTCCCTCCTCCATTTTATTCAGGACTTGAGAATATACAATCTTCTCTACTAGTCCACAACGCTGGGAAATATTGCAAAAGAGACAAAAAACACACCTTAATGTGTTTCAAATTGCCCATGCAAAGACACACCTCTATGAGGTGTCTTTGCATGGGCAATCTTGAACACAATGAATTTAAAAACTTGACAGCATTCGCCCTTTCTCTAATCACTTAAACCAAATTATTGAATTATGGAAGAAGTTTACAGCTTGAATCTCACTCTTATAACAAGAAGTGAGATTAGAGGAGCTTTGAATTTTATGAGCTTTTTCAAATGTGAAGGAGCTCATATAATGCAATTATGAAAGAAATCAAATTAGCTGCTAATACTACAATCAGTTCTGAATTTCCGATCTTTTCATTCAACTTGTCAAACAAAATCTTTGAAATAAAGTTTGGAAAACTCCTTAGAAATGTAGTGATTGCACTGTAAATTTTTGTTTCAGTTCCAGTTACAGTGTACTCAAGTGTGCATTCATTCAGTAAGTTGAACTTCATCAAGAATTTTTTGCGCCTAATTATGGTAGAAGTAATTTTGCCTTTTTGCATACCGAGTGTCTTTTAGCATATAATCTTGAGTTCCATACTGTGAAGAGTTTTCAAAACAAAAAACAAAAAAAATAAGATTGTACAGAAACAAAGGCTAAATTACTTAATTATACTTATATACCAGTAATATAATCAAAAAATTTGAACTTATGACATTTTTGATTTTCAACCGACAACTTTTGATTTTTGTATTTACACCTAATTAAAACATGTATTACTAATTTTCCAACCTACTAAATCTTTGACCTACTGTATTTTTGACCTACTGAATTTTCAACCTACTATATTTTCAATTTTATAGCTACGCCTTTCCTCTATGTATTTTGTTGTTGCCTTTCCTCTATGTATTTTGTTGTTGATTTGAATACGAGCCAAATCTGATTAGCCTTGGTGCAATGATTGAAGCGCTATCTTCAAAATTGGGAGGTATAAGGTTTTGATGACTGTATGAAAAACTTATTAATTGTTAATTAAAAAAAAAAATTCGTAATTTAAAAAAAACAACGTTAAAAACACCCACACCAACTAATCGGTTAAAAATTAATTTATCTCAAATCGGTTAAAAATGTAAATTCTACAAGATAGGTCGAAAACTAAATCGGTCGTCATAAAACGGTTGAAAATAAAAAAGAATAAAATTGGTTGAAACAATTTAGGCCTCAGTATGTTATCTGAAAATTAGTTCCACTTTTTAGTAGATGTTCTTTTTGTAGAACAACTTAGTAGGTCGAGATTTTTGCAAGTCTAACTATCTGACACTGTTTTTTTAATATAAAATACTTGTGTTAGTATAAAAGAACCTGGCCCTTAGTTTATAACATTAAAAACATAAAACGCGCTTAAAATAAAAGTCAGTGTGAACGGAGTATAAGATTAAACAATTATAAAAATAGTTTAACCCATAAAAAATTACATAAAATTCAGAAAATTTTCAATATTTTAAAAACTAAATGTAGCACTTCCTATTGTCAAAAACAAATTAAATTTTGTATTTAACTTCAATGAGGTAGAGTAGGATAACTGCGTTTTTTTTTAAACTTTTAAATTTTCAACCCTATTTTGTGTCACACTACTGTATATGTTTTGAAAAATATTTGAAATTTTTACCTGACCCACCCATACATTACTGATCAATGTTTGTGCCCGATCGTCCTTAAAATAAAATGTAAAAAACTAAAAAGTGACCATTAGTTCTTCTTAGATTGCCAAACCAAAAAAATGTCTAATTATAAGATATATTATTTTATTTTAAAAAAACGATAATCTGTCGAGTGACTAACAATATGACCCTAACTAAAACATATCTCAATATTATGTTAAGTTAATCATTTCAAGTTAATCACAAATACAAAATAGAATACATGAACAAAAATAAAACTAAAAATAAAATATAATTCAATTTTAAACAAAGTTTCAGAACGTAATAACAAAATCTCGGAAACTGTTTTTTAAAACTAAATTTCAGAACATAATATTTAAAACGAAGTTTTACAACGTAATATTTTTATTTTTAATTTAATTATTTTATGAATTTATATATTTCGTATAATTGTTTTCATAATTATATAATAATTTATTAATAGCATCTATATTTTTATATTTTTTATAAGAGTTTGTTACAAGTTTTGAAAAAACAATACTGCTATTGAAAACGCGTCAACAAAAAAATTTTAATGACATCGGTTACTAGGTAAAAAAAAAGTTTTATTTAGTAACCAGTGCCAAATTCAGAAATTGATCACAAATAAAATCAATAGTGAAACTGTTTACAATTTTTATTTGATGAGTATACGGTGTTTTGTGTCATGTCTGAATGTTAATATGTTACACATTTGGTATGCCCATGGTTATCAAATTGGTAATACCATTAGTTAAGCTTGCTTCTGGTAATCAACAGGGTAATATCAACAGTGAAACTTGCTAATAGTAAGGATAATCAGCAGAAATGGAGAAAGTTTATGGCATCATGGAAAATTTAATGAAGGATCAAGTAAAAGCAGATGTGATTGTGACAGTAGTAAATTTTGTTCCAAAGTGAAAACCAACGATGTATTATCTTTCGTTTTGAAGTATCAGTCTTGCTTTTGTGTTTTTGTTAATTAAAAGTTGTTAAAAAGTTTTTAAGTTTTTAAAAATATACACCATAAAAGATTAGCGTTTAAATAATTTTAAAAATTGGAAAGATTAAATAACAAAGTGAATCACAAAGAACTTCAGGTAGTAGGATGTATAATCAATTTGGTTTTATAAAGATTAACTGGTTTACTTCTCAAACGTTCATTGGTTTATCAAAGTATTTTGATGAGTCTAACCCTAATGCAAAAGATTAAACTCAATTTAAAAGTTAAAATCACAGTAATAAAAACATTTTGTAACTTTCTTATCACACATATCAATGTATACAACATTTGGTAACTTGGATATATACTTGTGTCATTTTATAATACACAATTTTATCATATAATAAACTTAAATTTCAAAGGAAAAACAAAATTGAGAAATCTTTAAACACTTTAATATGAAATACATTTTCCCACACTCTCAAAAATGAAGACAGGCCCTTATCTTCTCTTAAGCTTTTATAGGTAATAAAAAAGAAAATGTTAAGATACTTACAACTACGTTTTACATAGGATCTATTGAATACATAGGCTGTATTCAATAGATCCTATGTAAAACGTAGTTGTAAATTTTTAAGTGAAATAGACTCTAATCAAATTGAAAATTCCTACAACTTTGATATGACGTACTAAAAATGCTTATATTGAAGTTGCTGAAAACATTAAAGTTCTATATAAAGCATGAAAAAAATGGTTAAAGAGCAGTAAACACAATAATGTAACTTATCAACTGCTAAATTAGCGGTTACGTCTTAGTTTTCGTGGGTATGTGGAGGTACTCAGCAACACTTTTTTACGAAATTTTTAAGAAATTTTTATTTATTTTTCCTTGATGATGCTTTTAATAAAATTTGTAAACAAAAAGTTGCTATCTTTACAACGGTAGAGTAACAACATACAACGGTAGAGCAACAACGTACAGCGGTAGAGCAATCTTATCATAAAGATATAATAAATAAGTTACTAGTGAATTGATTAGATGGTCAGTAAATTAATTAAATGAACATTAAATTAATTTTTTTTACCATAAAATGTGAACATTTTATATAAAAAAAAAAGTTAATATAGATAAAAAAAAAAAAAACATTGAAAAAAACCCTCAATTGATGTATGTACACTCTCTGCACATTCTACCTGTTTAAGTCAGTCAATATATATGCATTCCCTGCATGTTCAACATATTTATGTCAATGAACTTATGCACACATCCTGCATATTTTACCTATTTAAGGTTATAATTATTGTTAACGGTATTTTTATAATAAAAGTCTGATCAAAGTTTTATTTTTACTTGTCATATTAGAATTATTTACTGGTAATAAATCTACTGATCATTTTATATAATTTACTGATTGTTTAGTCCGTAACACTTAGTATAGAGTTCCAACTTATATGAACATGCATATATATATATATATATATATATATATATATATATATATATATATATATATATATATATATATATATATATATATATATATATATATATATATATATAATTAAGTTGATTTCAATAATTTCAATAAAAGGCAGCGTTTAACTGTTTTTAAATATATTTGATATAATAATATATTAACAATATTTCGCTGACCTATTGTGGTCAGCTTCATCAGGCAATAATAAAACGTTACAAAATAACATAAAACAAATCGTTAAAAAGAACACATTATAAAGCGTCAAATATAAATATCCCCGTCATCTCAATTTAGAACACCTTGCCCAATATCTATCTCATATCGAACTTTTGCTTTGTTAATTACTAGAGATTCTCAAATTTTTCTTATCCTGTATCTGGAACGAGTGCCAAAGTCTTAGGATTTAGCAAATCAAAATTACCACGGCATGTTCTAGAATGTTCCATGGCTCCTGAATTCAACCATTTTTGATTTTTACAAGCTCTTTGGTGTTCTGCACTTCTTGAAATAATTTTCTTTTGGTCTTACCAATATATATATATTTCCTCATGAGCATTTAAGTTGGTAAACTCCCGGATTTGAGTTCGGAGGTAGATTTGTTTTGTTGTTGCATAATATGTTATTTAAGTTGAGAGCTGAAGTAAATATAATTCTGATGTTTTTTTTTTAGATTCTCTTCAGAGTTTTGGGCTAATAATGGGTATCCAAGGTAGTTTAACAAATTGTTAAACTGATTAGATGTAGTATTTTTTGAAATGCGGTCTAAATAGTTTTTTGTTATTTTAATAAGATAACTTTTGTTATAGCCGTTTTCAGAAAAGGTATTTATAAGGAAATCAATTTCTTGTGAGAGATATTTTTGAGAGCAGATTTTTTTTTGCTGTACATAAAAAACCTTTAAAGACGCCGGTGGTTATGCTTGGGTTGACAACAATAAATGCAACAATAAAGCAAAACTACCTCCGAACTCAAATCCGGGAGTTTACCAACTTAAATGCTCATGTAGAAATATATACATTGGTGAGACCAAAAAGAAAATAATTTCAAGAAGTGTAAAATACTAAAAAGTTTGTAAAAATCAAATATAGTCGAGTTCAAAAGCCACGGAGCAATCTAAAACATTCCGTGGTAACTTTGACTGGCTAAATCCTAAGATCTTGGCAGTCGTTTCAGAGTACAGGATAAGAAAAATGAGAGAATCTCTGGAGGTTAACATTGCAAGAATTCAATATGAGATAGGTTAGATATGAGATAGGCCACAATAGAGGAGGAGGCTACTTGTGGTTATAACCCTCTCTAATTCTATAGCTCCGAAAAACAAACCTTGACAAAGATTGCTGCGTAGAGAAACGGGTTGAGCGTGGTACTACCTGGGACGTGGTGGGAATTGAAGTCGGAATCTCTCACTTATGAAGCTAGGGCTCTACCATTACACCACTACCGCACTATTAATATATTATTGAATTAAATATATTTAAAAATAGTTACACGCTGTTTTTTATTAAAATCAACTTATATATTATAACCTTCTCAAAGTTTGTTATATATATATATATATATATATATATATATATATATATATATATATATATATATATATATATATATATATATATATATATATATATATATATACATATCTATATATATATATATATATAATATATATATATATATATATATATACATATATATATATATATATACATATATATATATATATGCATATATATACATATATATATATATGCATGCATATATATATATATATATATATATATATATATATATATATATATATACATATATATATACATACATATATATATATATATATATATATATATATATATATATATATATATATATATATATATATATATATATACATATATATATATATATATATATATATATATATATATATATATACATATATATATATATACATATATATATATACATATATATATATATATACATATATATATATATATATATATATATATATATATATATATATATATATATATGCATATATATATATATATATATATATATATATATATATATATATATATGCATATATATATATATATATATATATATGTATATATATGCATATATATATATATGTATATATATATATATATATATATGTATATATATATATATATATATATATATATATATATATATATGTATATATATATATATATATATATATATATATATGTATACATATATATATATATATATATATATATATATATATATATATATATATATATATATATATATATATATATATATATATATATATATATATATGTATATATATATATATATATATATATATATACATATATATATACATATATATATATATATATATATATATATATATATATATATATATATATATATATATATATATATATATATATATATATATATATATATATATATATATATATATATATATATATATATATATAATATATATATATATATATATATATATATATATATATATATATATATATATATATATATATATATATATATATATATATATATATATATATATATATATATTAGGGGTGGATCCAGGATTTTTATTGTCTGTGGCAAAAAAGCTATATATATATTTTTGTCTAAAAAAAAAGGTCCTTGCTTTTCACAACAACCGACAGTACTAAAAGTCCAAAGTTTGCCAAATGTACTCCATGGTCTACATATGCCGACTTGCTGGTCTAAAAGAGCTAAATTTGCAGGCATAATAACTAAAATTCATTGGTAGGGGGGAAGGTATCACACACCATTCGCGCCAGTCTTGGATGCAAAGTGACTCATAGTGTTGCATGAGGTCTTCTACCTCTGATTTCTTCCCCCGTCCGTTTAGAGTGGAAGAACGTCACTTTATTATGTTTTATTTAATGACTTATTTGATAAAAGATTTGAAAATTAAAATAGACACTGCAACGATTTATATAAATTTATAAAAACTATTTATAAATATTTTCCTACTTTTAATAATAAACTTTATTACTTCATTTTGTAAACTATTTGTCAAATAATGAAGAAAAAAACAGGTTTCAAATCAAAAGAAAAAATTTTGCTTCCTGAGTTCATTATTTTGTATGTTTTTGATAACTTGGACAAAAGTCAATCAACAAGAGTTCTATCTGTAACCAAGGTTTTTCATAAAATGTTAGAGTTAGATTTAATCACACATAATTGTTTTTGCTTTGCTATTTGACTCTCTTACTTTAATGAATTTGATCACATAAAATTAGGAATCTATGTTTACAAGTTTTCACAACATTTTTGAAAAAAAAATTTGGGACCATAAAACATACAACTTGTATTTCAAGCTATCACAACATTTAAAACACTTTTTGAAAGAGAATTCATATCATTGGTTTTCCAAAAAAAGTAACTTCCTGATACAATAATATTTTTGTAATATACACCTTGTCACAAAGAATAATAGGTCCAAGTAAAGTAGAAAAAAAAAGTAGTAGAAAATTCCTTGTAATTTTAAAATAAACTTAAAATCTATCTGAGAGGAAAATTGTATAAAATGTTATTTTAGTTTAACCTTTTTGAAGTTTTGACGTCAACCAGATCATTTACTACAGTTTTACAAGACGTTTTAAAACTCGCATTAGAGAAACATTCTATCCAACGTGTTTTCTTCTCTTTGTCTTTGGGAAATCCTTGAATTTTTTAAAACGTTTTTAAATTGTTTGACTTCTTCAATGATAAATAACTTGTCGAACAGCAATAAACACATTTCAAAAACAAATTGGCTTTTGCTGTAGTTGCTTCAGTCGATTTGCCATTTTATTTAACTCCCAGTTCAATTTAAGTCAATAAGCTACAAAATGTATGACATTCTTTAAAAAATTTAAAAGCTTGTTAGAAAAAACCCGTTAAAATCATGAGTTTTTTAGTGAAGCATTTCATTTTTCCAAATAAAATATTTCCGTAACATATTTAACTTGGCTCAGCTACGTTTTTGAATAAATTTTTGAAGCGCCGCATTTTTACTACTTATAACCTCCATATCTTATTTAAATTATTTTTCTTTTTGCATGAAAATAAAAAATGTATGCAAAAAGTAAAAAGAGAAAAAAAAACAACTGAGCTGACTGTAGCAATGCTACAGTCTACTACTACTACAGCCAGCTACTGAGCTGACTGTAGCAATGTAAGACTGCTACACTTGCTACAGCCTGGATCCGCTCCTATATATATATATATATATATATATATATATATATATATATATATATATATATATATATATACATATATATATATATTTATATATATATGTAAATATGTATATATGTATATATATATATATATATATATATATATATATATATATATATATATATATATATATATATATATATATATATATATATATATATATATATATATATACCTATACATATATATATTTATATATATACAAAATATACATAATATATATGTATATATATATAAAATATACATAACATATATGTATATATATATATATATATATATATATATATATATATATATATATATATATATATATATATATATATATTAAATTTGAATAATAATAAAATACAATTAAATTGGTGACGTAAATCAGAGTTTCACGCTTTATGCAATCATCGGACGTTGCAAACAAACAAAAAAATTGGTATGTGTGGTGTGTGTGTGTGTGTATAAATATATATATACATATATATATATATATATATATATATATATATATATATATATATATATATATATATATATATATATATATATATATATATATATAAATGTAGGTTAAACATTTTTATACTTGTTATATATAAGTATTAATGAAAATTGAGTATTCTTAATAGTATAAATAGATAATTTCCTAATATCATTAAATATTATTAACGCACTAATAAAAATATCTCTATTAAGTAATGTTTAATTAAATATTAATCAAAGTGTTTACTAATTTGACGACTTGCACGTAAGCTAGATCAAGAGTCAAATTAACAGGATCTGATTTTTGCATCGCCGGACGAACTTCTTTGTTATAATTTGAAAAAATATAATTTAAAAGTAGCGTTTCGTCGCTTGTCACGTGTTGACCATCTACGTCTAAAATTAAAACTTAAAAATTTATTTTATTTTTTTTTCACTCGTATATTACAGATTATTATTTTAGTCTAATATACCTATGCCCTTTAGATAATAGCTACTAAACATACCTATGAATAAAGTTAAAAACAATATTGAAAAAAAACACATCGAAATACACCATCGGCTAAACAATGATATATAGAATATCATTGCTATGTTATTATACTGACGTATCTAACAAAATTGTAAATCAAGTAAAAGCAATCTCTTCAATATGCAAAAAAAAAAAAAAAAACAACTAAAAAACAAAGTTAAACAAAAAACATTCAATTGTTTTCATTGTGGTGAAATATTTTTTAATACTACATTTTAATACAGTTGGGCCGAATTTAGAAAATGGATTTCTCAGATATCAATGAGTTTTATTATAACCTAATAATTAATAAATGAATCATAAATTCATAAAAAAAATTTTAATGTCAAATACTTTATTCTTCCAAAACAAGTTTTTCTTTTGTACAAATTTACCGTTTTTTTCTTTACTTACAATTAATGTTTTTGATATTCTTTATTATTTAAATTATATATTCATTTAAATAGCTTGTTGATACTTTCACTTAATTTCATCATTGACATGATACCGAGTTTGGTTTTTAAGAACAACATCATTATTAGAATCAAAGTTTTGATTTATATCATTTGTATAAGTAGTTATGTGGAAGGTAAGTAATTTCTTACACGCATAAGTTTTCAACATGTCAGAAAATATTTCTGTGTAAAATTTTTAGAGTTTATCTTTTTTTAAAGCTTCGTTGGAGCCAAAGAATACAATGATAAAGTCAAATACCAAATCAGAAACAAATGAAAAAAACATTAAAGCATCTACGAATATTGACCAAAATACTCAAGTATCTACATTATATGGTACAGAGTTAAATGACTCAAATATAAATTCAACAGAAAGTGACGAAGTTAAATTGATTAGAGAAATATTTAGGAAGAGAGGTTATAATAAAGAAGTCAGACCTGTTGTAAAAAAAGAAGATGTTGTACAAGTTGTGTTTGATTTAGCCTATACACAGTTACTTGATCTGGTATGTTGTAAAATTTTTCTTACTTTACATTGTTTGTTTGAAAGTTCACTTGTTGCTGTTGTTTTTATTGTGATTTGTTGTTACTATTTTTATTATTATTATTATCGCTATTATCATAGATAATGTTTTTAATATTATAGGATGAAAAAAACCAAGTGCTTGTTAGTAATGTTTGGGTTCGGATGGTATTTTTTATACGTATATTTTTCCTATTTATATTAATAAAATTTATTTAAATTTTGTCTAGGTTGCTATTAGAATTACATTGAATATTATAAACATTACAAAATATAATTATATATAAAAAGATATTAAACTTTACAAGATAGAATTTATATTTTTTCAACTTTAAGAGATGGTACAACGAGCTATTAAAGTGGAATAAGGACGATTTTGGTGGTTTGGAGTCAATAAATATTGATTCATCAAAAATATGGATACCAGATATTGTTCTTCAAAACAAGTAAGAATAGTTCAGCAATTGTGCTTCTTTTTTCTTATATTTAAAAAGTATTATTACGTTTTCAAGTTCAAAGTTTTCATACTCTTTAATTTTCTGTCAAATGAGAAACGAATATTGTGTAAAAATAAAACCTTAAAAAAAAAGACTAAATTGCGGTAAAATAATTTGTTAAGCCCTAAACGATATATAATGTTGTTTATACTTATTTTATCAAAAAGAATGGATTGTTTTTTTGAATAACGGGGAACGCATCTCATAAAAAAGTTCTATTGCTAAATCTTAGCATTAAAAGTTTAATTAATATCTTAACATATACAAATGAAAGCAAAAATAGTTTATAAAGCTCATATCTCTTCTATTCAAACATATGTCATTTTATTAAATTCTTTTCATTATGAAACGTGCAATAGAATTTTTATATCATCACAACATCAACACTGTTTTTTTTTTTTAAATACTATTGAACAAGTTTAGCTTCGTACAAAGTTATAAGCAAGATGTTATAACTAATATAAACAATTTAGCAATACATCTTCTTTCTTATTACTGATTTTTCATAAGTAAAACGTTCTTACCAGCTATGTAATTATTAAAAGCTGTTTACCTGCGCGGAAAAATCTCATCAATAGTAACAATTAAATTAATATAACTTTGTTTAATTTTCATAAAAATAATAAGTTCAAAGACGTGTTTTTTGATTTTTGGTTCTCTAGCTTAATCAGTAAAAAATTTAATGCAGTCCAAGCAGAGGCCTGAGTCCAAGGAGTAATTAACAACGCCGCAAAAAAAAACAAAAAAAAAAAATTTGCTTAAAAATGTTTTCCATCATTATATGAAGAACATAACACAAGCTAAATTTAGAGCATATTTAAAAAGTATTAATCAATATTTCATATCAAATTATATTAAAATTTGCTTTTTCAATTTTGTCTCGGTAAGCTGTTATTCGATGACTCAAATTAATTTAAATGAAAGTGCTCCAAAAGATAAGTAACCAAAGACGACAAATAGTTTTTTATTTTTGGTATGTTTCAGCAAAATTTAATTAATGAGTAAAAAAAAAAAAAAAAATTATATTAAAAATTTTTTATTTGCAACAAAAATTTAAATTTGAAAAGAGTTTATTTTAAAAAGGATAGCTACCTACCGAAAATTTTATTTTGGATAAAAGTTGTTTTTACAGCAAAAAAGCATTTTAAAATTTAAAATGAATGGTTTTATAAAAAATTGAGATGCCTTGGGGCGCCTTGTACGCATAGAAATCCTTCAAAACGCAACGAGGATGCTATAATTAAAGAATAAGTTTTTCAAAAGAAATATGAGGTATTGAAATGGAGTACATGGGTATTGGAAATAAACATCAATTTCAACTCGCTTAACTGACAAAATAAAACTGTAAAGAATCTAAAAAATATTGTCACTATATTTTATAGTTTATTTACTATCCATAAATATGTTACGAAAATCAAAACTTTTAAAAATTCTTTATATTTATATTTCCTAATACTTTGTTCTTAATCGTAATAATTAAAAACTGTTTTTATATAAATTTAAATTTTTTTGTTTTTTTTATTGTTTTGTTTTGTGTTCATTTATTATTGAAAATCAATTTAGGAGTTTATTATCTTTGTTTTTCAAATTTGTATTATGTTTGATGACAATTTTTATGTTTAATCACTTGTGAATTTACTGATTATTAGATTAGCGGTAAGACTTTTTTTTCTACTTGCCCCCGCCATTTATATATTTTACAAATACGGAAATTGAAAACCTAACAACAAATTAAAAAAAATTCAAAAGAGATCAAATTCTCAAATTAAATATTTCTTTATTTTTACAATTTAAAAATGAAACCTTTAATCTTTCATTCTAATTCATTGCAATCATCTTATATATCATAATAACAAGTATCTTGTTTCGATCAAGATACTTGTTTCAGCAGTTTCAGAAACCATAACCAATTTGATTGGTTTCTTGATGCTGCATCTTATTGTAAGTTTGTTACGAAAATCAAACTTTATTGTTATGGATTTTGAGTGGACCTATAAAAGAAACTTAAGCGGTTCATTGAAGTTTTAGTCATCGTTTATATAGTGGCATCCACTATAAGTGGCCGGCCAATAACTTTCTTACATGTTATATAAAGCTTATATAAAGCTATTGTTAAATAATATTTTGGCAGCCGCTACAAATGGTTTACTTAGTAATCAATGACCAAAACTATAGAAAATCGCTCAAAGTGTCTATATAAATAAATAGATACCCTTTTCACCCCCACTTCTCTAAAAAAAAGCTCCTACATGTCTATAAAGTGTTTTATTCCCATTATTTAACAATACTTTACCTATATTTTAATTTAGATCTATGGTGAATGGGATTTCTATTTTAAGATAAAAAATAAAAAATGTTTCTTGATAGACTCTCAAAGATGTCAATGATATATTAACGCAGCCGTGTGTAGCAGTGGTTGTAAGTTCTGGCTCAGAACCAAGAGGTCCAAGATTCGACGCCAACTCTAGCCTAATAAGCAACATTGGTAAATACGAGATGTAAATTTCCTATTTAAATGCTTTTACGCGGTGCTATGTGATAAGACCGCAAGGTGGGAGTGGGAGCACCTTATAAAGCACAGAAAAAATGATAGAAGAAGAATTCAAATACGAGCAAGCAGCTGTCGAATGTAAAAAACGTAGAACTTAAGAAAAAAAGGTCTGTTGCTTTGATGGAACCGAAGGTATTAGACAGCACTTAAATGTGCGGAGTAGCTAGGTGTATGATTTGACAAAGTTAGAAGTAATACTCAAATTCACAATGAGACAATCACTGTTTTTATATAGTCTTCTAACATCACGTGAAATCTGCGCAGTTTCAGTGTATTATGGTATCAAAAGGATCAAAGATTGAACTGATTGGTTGAGTGAAGATTGAAAGGATCAAAGATTGAACTGATTGGTTGAGTGAATATTGAAATGATCAAAGATTGAACTTTTTGGTTGAGTGAAGTTCTACTGGTAAACAATAGAAAAAACTTTAAAAATAAAATATTTAAAGATTTTATGAAAAAAAGCGCTAAAAAGTAAACATTAGCAACCCTAATCAATGCGATAGCGTATGTATAAAAATATATGGTTTTTGCCATAAATTAAATGTTACCAATAGAAAAAATTTTATTTTGCAGAAGTTAATTTCTTTTCAAAGTAATCCATTTTAAATTTTTAATATCATTTTTTACATGGGTTTTTACCAGTAATAGCTTTCAATCTAAGAACGTTAATTACTAAAAATTACGGATATCATTAAAAATTACGGATATCATTGAAAGTTACGGCCCGACGGGCATTTGTTTTTAAAAGTTACGTTCTTAATGTATTTTAAATGTCTTTTAAACGTCTTCTAAACATTCTTACGCAAAAAACGTTTAAAAGACATTTAAAATACATTTAGAACGTAACTTTTAAAAACAAATGTCCGTCGGGGGATATCATTGAAAATTACGGATATCATTGAAAATTACGGATATCATTGAAAATTACGGATATCATTGAAAATTACGGATATCATTGAAAAAAGTCGTCTCTTGAAAAGGCGATATGCAATCATTCTTTTTTGATTTTCTTCAATATTTTCCTATCTCAAAAATATCTTTTTGAGAGAGGAAAATATTGAAGAAAATCAAATAAGAATGATTTCATATCGCCTAATTTAATAATCTTATTTCCAAATAAATCAATTTGAAAGGATGTGTTAATCAAATAGCTTGTTTTATCAACACAGTCCTTTAAAATGTTCAACATGTTTTTCTCAAAAAGTGGAACGTTTAGTGAAGCTAGAATTTTAATTGAGAAGCAAATTGTTTGTTATTTACTACGAGATAAATATAATCATCATTTTCTATCTATATTTCACCTTTGCTATCTATTGTTCATCTATGCTATATATAGTTCATTTATCCTATCTATTGCTTATCTATGCTGTCTATTGTTCATCTTTGCTATCTATGTTATATATTGTTCATCTATCCTATCTATAGTTCATATATGCTGTCTATTGTACATCTATACTATCTATTATTCATCTATACTATATATTGTTCATCTATGCTATCTATTGTTCATCTTTGTTGTCTATTGTTCATCTATCCTATATATAGTTCATCTATGCTGTCTATTGTTCATCTATTTTATCTATTGTTTATCTTTGTTGTCTATTGTTCATCTTTGCTATCTATTGTTCATCTATGCTATCTATTGTTGAAAAAAAATGCCATTAACTGAGCATGAGTCATGATTTAAGGAAGAGCTTGATATTTTCATCCGAAATAAAAAATAAAGTATGGCACTCGTCTCTTTATCATCCGAAATATAAAATAAAGTATGGCACTCGTCTCTTTATCAAAATAATATTATATTTTAAAAGACAAAAAAGCATTGTTGATATCTATCGAGAACTAGAAACACATATTCTGTTTAGTTTCAGCGTACATAATAAAAAAAGATTACACCAATTGGCTGGCTGGTTTTGATCATCATATTAGTATACCATAAGGTTGAAGAACAATTTATCGACTCCGTCAATTAACCAAAAACAAACTATACGGGTCAGTAGTTTATAAAAACATTAAGACCTAAAGTGTTTTTTCTTAACATTTCAAAGCCTCCGAATTTAATTCAAAGAATAAAATGCAAAGAAGAAAGACTTTTATTATAATATTATGTTAAAAATATTTTGAATTATTACTTAAAACCTTTTTTGATCTTCATTAACTGTAAGCAAAATTAAACGTTTTTGCAAAAACTGTAAAAAAGCACATCAGATCTTTTTTGATTCATGAAAAAAAAATTTCAGTTAGACTCCAGTGGGTACGCGTCGTCCAAGGGACATTTGTTGAACGTCCAGACGTACGAAAAACGTCTGACAAACATTGCCCGGACTACACACGCCCACTGGGACTGGACTTTGTCATGAAGCAAAATCAATATCAAGTTCAAACGATACATGAATATAAAAATAAATTTTTTTATAAAAGTTTTTTTATATCATTTGATATATTTTAATATTACATAATTTTTGTATTTTGTTTTTTTTGCTCATTAATTTTTTCAATTCTGCAATATTACATAGTCAAAAAAAAAGAATTGATTTATAATGAGTGGTAAAAAAACACACAAAAAAAAGCAAGCCTCCGTGTCTGATTTAATAAAAAATGAATAAAGTTTTTAAAAATTTCCTTATCTAATGATAGAAAAGAAAATGTTCTTATTAGCTGAAAGTGTGACAAACCAAAAGCTTTCTTTAATGAATTTAAAATTTATTTAATCGCAGAGAAAATAAGAGAGCCAATAAATCGCAGAGAAAATAAGAGAAAAAATTGTAATCAAATTATTTGAAAGATTAAAAGCCAAAGGTTAAAAGCAAAATACAATTGAAAAAAATAATTGAACAAAAAGCAACGAGAAAAGTAGTGAGAAAGAACACCAAAGAACACTTTTGTGTTCTTTGGTATTCTTTGGTGTTCTTAAATCCCCTCCTTCCCCCGAGATCCGTCACTGATTGGATGGCTTATTATTACTATACTAATTTTACTATTTTTATAAAACTATTTTTTAATAAAACCATTTACATTTATTATTTCATATATAGCGCAGAAGAAGCTCTTGGTGCTGGTCAACTTGATTTGTTTAATACAAAAGTAATTTTAAACTACAATGGAGAAAACCAGTTTTATGCTCCGGCTATACTTCGGAGTCGTTGCGAAATTAACGTGGAATACTTTCCTTTTGACGATCAAAAATGTCAGCTCTCATTTTTAAGTTTAAGCTATGACAAAATGAGGCTTAACATAAAAAACAAAACCAGTCAGGCTGATAGAATATTTTACCTAGAAAGTGCAGAGTTTGAATTGCTAAGCACAAAAGCTGAAAACAAAGAATACTATCACGGGTGAGTATTTTTAATATTTAATCAAATTTAACTTTTATTAGTATTTAACTTTAAATACTTCTCCAAAACAATATTAAAATACCTAACACAGATCCTGTAATTAGGTTTTCTGATTTTTTCCCCTTATAATAGTGTCATCACATCTTTATAAAAATATAAATATATACATCGTTTATTCAGTCTAGATATAACATTTATTCATTTGATTTCAAAACTTTTCCTAATCCCAAGGTTATATTTACAAACTAATGTTAAGATATCTAACTTTCTATATCGTTTCAAATAGGTTTTACTCTTTTACTAATTTAATGCGCTAAAAACGATAAAAATACTCAAATATAATATAATAGATTTTTAAACGATAAAAATACTCAAAATAAATTTAAAATAAAATTGTCAAAAACGATTACTGAATTATTCGAGTCCGATTGTTTGAAATGTTTGAAATTAAGAGGGGATTTTGCTATGATGAGTTCTTTAATGATTTAAATATTACTTTGGAACGCCACTACTGCGAAAACTAGACGGTTTAATTTTGTATTCTTTGAAAATCATCTCATTATTACATGCCATAAACTCCCTAAAATAATATCATTGACTACTTGTCATCATTTATCAAAATTCCTACAGAAAAAATGGCCAAAAAAATTTATTGTTATTTTTATTATTATTTTTATTGTTATTACTACTATTATCTATTTAATATATGCTATATAACTTATTTAATTTAAATACTCATTTAATGCTATAGATCACAATAGAGCATCTACCGAGGCGCACAGAGGGTGGGGGATCCGGGTCGGTTTCCCCGGGCATTACGTTTATGGGGCATCATAAGATGACAAAAAAAAAATTATCAGTATGTTAAATAAAAAATTGAAAACATCCAACAAAGAAATGAAAATTGTTTACTTTGTTACCTTTGTCCATCAGATTACAGTGAGGTTTCAAGCTCTGAAACAGCAATGTAGATTATTTTCCTTCATCTGGTCTACGCCTCAATTTGGATATCTGGTCTCGACATTAATTCGGTCTTAAAAACAGTCAAAAATCTCAAGTTAATAATCTTGTACTTCTGTATCCAAATGATCTTAGAGAAAACGAGTTTATTGATGAGTTCCGCCAATTTTTGGCTGTTCGACGCCATCTACTGACAAATGATCGGCCTTTAAATCTTCTGAAAAGCATTTATGCGAAGGAATTTAAAAGAAATTTTCCCTTAAGCTATGAATATTCCGGGACTAAATAAATTAGTAAACATTCCACTCGCAAAAATTTTTTTGAGAAAGATTTATAAAAATTGTTGTTTTAACAAATTATACCATTCAAGAATTTAAACAAAAATTCTTATTTAGACAAGATATTTTTCGATACTTTTAGATATATGATATCGAAGTACTAATATTTAGTTAACTATCGGAAGTTTTTTAATTCTTTGGCATCGTAAATCTATTATTTCAGTAAGATTTAGATGATTTGGCCAATTTTTATAAGAAAAATTGGACGTTTTTGCTATAATTTATTTTTAGTAGATACTCGTTTTAAAATAATTTCACATAGGATTTGCGGCGTAGAAATGTTTAATAGTATTATTTATATGTTTAATAAGTTTATTATTATCTTTATTACACGATACGACCGTTTTACCTTTGGTTGTATCCCATAAAGCACGGTATTTATAAATAGCAATATTTTATTTTTGTAAAAGTTCATAATAGATTCACCTGCTTTGCTAATATATATAAATCTTTCAGCTAAGTTTTAAAAACAGTTGGACTTATCTTTTTAATTACTCAGCTTTATTTTCTTTTTTTTATTGTTGTTCAAAATTACGACGTCATCCTCAGAATTGGAAACCACTATTTTTTTCAATAAATGAGCAAACTTGAAGCATGTTTAGCTATGAACTTTGGAAAATTATACGTTTTTAAAATTTTTTTCTATGTTTCAGTATTAAAAACATTAAATTTGATCTTAAGTTATATATCTACTCAGCATCAATTCAAGTCTATTTCAAAGTGTCTTAAATAAAATAAATAACAATAAAATTTATTTTTGCTCGATCTTATTAACATAACTCAACAAGAATTTTAAATTTGCAATTTTAAATGTGCAATTGAATGCTTTGCTTATTATTATTATTGTTTTTTTTTTTCCTTTTTTTATCACTAGTTTACTTTTGCATTACCTGTTTGTACAGCTTTTAAAGAGTCGTAATCCCTGAACACATATCACCTTAACACGTATTCCCTGAACACATATCACCTTAACACGTAATCCCTGAACACATATCACCTTAACACGTAATCCCTGAACACATATCACCTTAACACGTAATCCCTGAACACATATCACCTTAACACGTAATCCCTGAACACATATCACCTTAACACGTAATCCCTGAACACATATCACCTTAACACGTAATCCCTGAACACATATCACCTTAACACGTAATCCCTGAACACATATCACCTAAACACGTAATCCCTGAACACATATCACCTTAACACGTAATCCATGAACACATATCACCTTAAGATTCATATTTTTCATTATTAGAGTTACAGAGCAAGAAGACGTTTGACAGAAGACTTGAAAAGTTGTAGGTTGTATAAGTCAGGAAAACATAAAGATGCGAGAGGATTCCAAAGAGTTGAAGTGCGGGGGAAATATTAGACAAATAAAAGTTACAAGTCAAGCGAGAATTAGTTTTAGCTGATGGAGATAGAGATGATAGCTCTTTGGAGCAGTGACTATAATAGTATTTGTAGAAAAAAAAAAAGAAATGCAACCTTAAGGCGATAGAAGAAAGGCTCAAGCTTGACCATCTATGTTTACAAGCGGGTCCATCTATGTTTACAATGCGTTTTGGACCTTATCTAGAAGAGAAAGAGCATCATTATAAGAACCAGCCCAAATATGTCAACAATATTTCATACAGAGACAAATAATAGATTTGTAGGGAAAGAGAATGGAATCAGAAGTAAGAAAATTGCGCACACGATTAAGAGAAGCAACCTTAAAGGATGTTAGTTTATCAATCGATTGTATATATGGTTTCCATAAAAGGACATTTGTAAACAATAATCCAAGAAGACGTAAAGAAGAGGACTCAGTGAGAGGGTTGGTGTTCATTAATATAGGAATGTCGACAGTATTAAAATAATTGTTTGCAGTAAATAAATTTTTTGAAGTTTAAATTTACAAGCCACTGCGAGCCCCAATCTGTTACAGAAGTGAGATCAGATTCAAGATCGGTTGCCTGTTTTGAGCAATCGAAAAGAGAAGATTTTTTGTCAAGACAGGAGTATAAAGTTGAATCATCAGCAAATAGAGCTACTTTATATGCAAGGTTGCAAAAAAGATGGTTTATGTAGCTATAAAGCAAAACAGGCTTAATGATAGAACCTCAGAAGTTACTGGATGAAATGAAGAAATAATTTTCTTTGAGGATGACTTGAAATGAACAAAGCAGTTAGAAAAAAATAATTTGATATTCTCAAAAACTATCCCAAATACATCATATGAAACATACTTATGAAGAAGACCAGCATCCCACACTTTGACAAAAGCTTTAGATATATCAAGAGCAATAGCTCTAGCCTCTCAGCCTTCACCTAGTGCACAATAAAATCTTTCAGTCACATCAGTTTGCAAGTTAGCGGTAGACCGAGAGGATCGAAAACAGTATTGATTGTCTGACAGTAACTTATTTGACTCAAGATGGGATGTGAGAAATATTTTGATCAAAGACTGAAAGACCTTGCTATAATAACAAAAAGTAGACTGATTGGACAATAATTGGAGAGGTCATATGGTTCGCGTGAGTTTTTGAAAATTGGAATAACAGATGTCATTTTCCAAGCAAAAAAGCAAGACTGAACAAAAGCACCTATTAGTATTTAATAGTTTATAGAGAATTGAAGAGAGTTCGGGAAAACAATTTTAACAGGAATGTTATCTGAACCACAAGCCGCAGAAGAGTTTAATTGAGAAATGACTTTAGTAACAGAAACTGGAGTGATCTGAATGTCTAACTATAGTTTAACTTGTTTAATTGGAATGAAAGGAAGAGAATGGCCATAAAATTTAAGAATCGAATTAGAAAAAAAAGTTCTTTGCAAATAGTTCTGCCTTATCTTTTGGAAAAGCTAATAAGATTAGTTGCATCAATGAGAGATGGAATGTTAGACCAACCATTGTTAATGACGCTGTTAATGGCGACTGATGTTGTACAAATGGAGGTTTTTTGGCTATTCTCTAGTGAGGTTCATTTTAATGAATTCATTTTAATGAGTAATATTATTAAGGCTATAGAAAGTTGTAAAGATTACAAAGATGCATCTCTGACGAGTGATGTAGGTCTCTTATCAGGCTTGTGTAAGCCTTTGTGTGGTTCATATTTTAACTAAAACGGAGTAGACAAAAAATACTGTTATTAAAAAAATATCATGGTTAGAATAAAAAAATTGTTTAGCGAATAAACTTGATCATTTCGTTTTTTAGTAGAACAAAAAGTATCCTTAAAATGAAGGGTATAAATACCCGTAAAAATAGTGATTACTTCTTTTTTATTCTCACTTCTCTTTATAATTCTCGTCCTACTTTCAAGCAAGTCTAGTGTAAGGTTTAGTGCAAGCTTTAGAGAATCATTTTCAGAACTCAAGTTTTTTTTATAAAAAATATAAAAACGTTTTTTTAAAGTTTTTGGGTACCATAGTAACATTATTATGGCACTCAACATATTACTAAGTATAGCAATTTTTAAACAATTTTTTAAGTACCATAATAGGTACCGTAATTACTATAATGAGTATTTATTTTTATTAGAGTATATTTAAAGTATAAATTTAAATGTGTAAATTAAAATTAAAAGATGAGTCTTTGAGAATATAAATCACATGTTAAACAAAATTACAAATTTTTATCAAATTATGTTATTTGTTATCAATGGTGCGTGTTTCTGATGCTAATAGAGACCATTTATTTAATGTATGTCAAGCTTTATTTAGAATTTTTAATACTTTAGGGAATTTTTATAGAAATATTATCGACTTGTTATCTCTAATAAAAATATTTGTATATTATACTAAAAATTTTGAACTTTTATCTCAAGCTAAATATTAATATAATAAATTTTTAATATAATAAAGTCTTTTTTTTTAAAGCTTTGAGTAAAAGACATTCATTTAGATTTATCAATATTAAAATATTTTTTTTAAAGAAATTTTTTAATAAATAAAGTATGGTATCGAAAATAGGTTTTTGACAAACTAATGAATATGCCAAATAACTTTATTTATTTATGATGGTTTTAATGCTATTTAAAATTTATTATAAGTTAGATTTAAATAAGTTTAACTTAGAGGTGATACAAATTCTATAATGGAGTTAGTATCTGTATTGTATAAAAAAAATTGAGTTCAGTGGCTTGAGTTCAAACTGAAGCTCAGTGGTATTGAGTATTTAGCTAATTTATTTTTAATTTTCATTGGATTTAGAATGAAAGTTGTGTTTGTCTTATGCTTACCACTAACTTTTTTTTAACTAATTTACTCCCAACAAGGCTGCAAGCAACCACAATTTAAGTTAAGAACTACCAGAAAACAAACCATGTAGTCAAAGAATAAAAAACGTTTGATAGAAGACTTGAAAAAATCAAAATGTTTGAGTCCGGTAAAGAACTTAATCATATGACGCAATAATAGATAGTACATGGCACCTTAAAGAATGAGATATGCATTTGCCTTAGCCTCACTACTTAACCCAAGGACACTTTATGTAATCCTAACAACACACAGTTACAGAAAAAAACTTCTATTCGCATTATGACACTAATAAGGTTTGGATGTATTATAGCTGTAGGTGGAACCAGCCTCCCTGAGAATTATCCTAAAGTTTGGGAAACGTTACTACAAACCTACCTAAGGACCTTTCAACTGAGTTGTAGTTCTGTGTCCCAATTAGGAGTGAAATGGAAGAGTTGCACAACCACTGTCAAGGAGGCAAAAGAAAAAACCCGTGAGTGGTATCAAGTATATTTATCATCCTAAGCAGGATGCAGTGTAACACATTTACATCAGTCTAATAACCGAAGAAACGAGGTTGGTTAACTGAATATTATTGCCTACCCCTTAAGTCTTTTCTTAGAGACCTTCTACAGTAATTGTACTGTACTGTCTTGTAGAAGGTCTCTTTAAGAAGAGACCTTCTACAAGACAGTAACCGGATGTAGTTAAAATTCGCTCAAGATGAGTATTTTAATCGAGACAACATTTTAATACAAGAAAGTAACAAGAGTTTCTCCTAGCCTTCAACTAGAAGCTCAAATTCTACAAAGCATCAGGATGTTGGGCATGTTTGTTAATAAGCGAGGCAGAATAGTAAATTTATTGTTTGTTTTAATGTTTGATTTCTACTTGTTGCTTTGTATCGTATGTTTGTTTTGTGGTCAATATTTGTCAATGATCAAAATTATAATTAATGGCAAATAATCAAAATTATAAAGAATAGCAAATGATCAAAATTTTAAGTTTTTACAATACTTTTTAATCGACCAATTGAAAAACCAAATTGTATAAAACGTTACTATTTAACATGTCGAAAAAACTGTTATTCTTGTGATTTTATTTCTATTATTCTCTGCAACAAGTTTTTGTTGCAAATTACGTTGAAATAAGTTTTCGTTTTGCAGTTTTTACTTAAAATATTAGATTAGATTTATTAGATTAAAACAATTAAACAAATTAAACAATTTAAAAATTTATTAGATTAAAACAATTATTATTATTTTAAAAATAAAAACATTTAAATAAAGATGAAATATCAGAATAGTTTACATCTCAATGGGTAAATTACGAATAGTTTAAAATAAATTCGATATGTATTTATAAATATATGTACATTTTTTAATTAATTGATATTCTGATATTCATTTCGAACAACTTAGTTTTATTAAATACTACTTTTATTACTAATTTATTCGACTTTGGCAAATTTACCCGATAAACTGAATTCATCAGGTAATTTTCAGTAGTTTGAAAAATGTTATAACTAAGCTGCAGTTATTTCTCAGTTTAAAGTTTTTTTTTTCTATTAAAATGATAATTATGCAAGATAAACACTTTCACTTTTAGAAACTGTAATTAAAATGTATAAAGTATAAAATTAAAACATAAATTTTTTATTAAAATGTAGCAAAAAGTATAAATATTTCGTAAGTTTTACATTAATACTGCTTCAAAAAAAGTGATTGTTTTACTTAATATTTAAATAATGTGAGTTCAAAAGCATTTGTCTGATGGTAACTCGTTTGAAAGGTTTAAATGTCTGATGGTAACTCGTTGAAAAGTTTGAGTGTCTGATGGTAACTTGTTTGAAAGGTTTAAATGTCTGATGGTAACTCGTTTTAAAAACAATAAACCTCAAAAATAATACATTATTTGTTGCTTTTTAATCAATAAAATAAATTATTTCCAATAATTAAGTCAAATTATGGTTAAAATTATAGTAAGGTTGTCAGTTCGTTTTAATCAAATCATAAATTTTTTTATACTTGAGCCATCTTTAATTAATATAGGTTTATTCCTTAAATATTCTGATTAAAACAACTTTCTAACTGATTAGTAAAAAAATCTTATATTGTTTATTATTTAAGCACTTTTTCCCAAATAAAAACGAATTTCTTTTGATGATTTTTTCAAAATTCTTGACATTGTGATGGCTACTAAATATTTCTATTATTCTTTGGTCGATTGAGGTTAGTTTGGCTTTGTAAGTGGCTGTTAAATTAAAATTGATGTTAGGGTTGTAAGGTAATATTGGAACTACCATTTATTGATAAATAAGGATGCTACTTTTGCCTTTTTCAATTTTTGTCTATCTAGAATTAATGTAAATTAACGATACAAATAGTTAATAAATACTTTCATATAAAACCGTTTTAGGCTTTTTCAAGTTGTTGATTTTAATATTTTTCATTCACTGTAATAATTGCTTGTAATCGTTTGTTGTTTGCTTTCTGAAATTGTCATTAATATAAACTTTTTCGATTTATAATATCAATTTTGTTATATTATTGATTTTTATAAACTTACAGTAGTTGTATTCATTCTTCCGAATTTTTAAGCTTTTTATAATGCATAACTAAAAACTATTTCTGTAGTGCAATGCATTAACGTAAACATTTCTGTAGTGCAATGCATTAACGTAAACATTTCTGTAGTGCAATGCATTAACGTAAACATTTCTGTAGTGCAATGCATTAATGTCAAATATTAAAGTAAAAGTTTTTTAAACTCCCTCTCTCCATGTTTTTAAAATATAATCTCTTGAACTTTGAAAAACTAATAAAAATTATAGTAAACAGCAAATAAGGTAAATTCCTAAATAACAATTATTGAATTGTATAGAAATTAGATTATTAGAGTTTCCTTATAAATTGAATGAAAAAGTAATTATAAACATAGAAACAATTATAAAAAAAAATTATTAAACTATTTATATAAGCAATTTTATTACTAATTTATATATATATATTTTTTTTGAGTTGTGAGTTTTGAGTGAGGATCGAATTGAATATGGGGTTTCAGGGGATAGAGACCCTTGATCCAACTATATTTTGATATCTACTGTTAATTTTTCAGAGACTATTGTGTGCCATATATGAACGTTGTATATACAATTCATATTCGACGAAAAACCTTATTTTATTTCAACAACTTAATTGGTCCGTGTTTTCTCATTACTATGTTGTGTTTATTTACATTTCTTTTGCCTCCTGAAACTGGTGAACGCATTACTTTAGTTATAACTACTCTACTTGCTATGACGGTTTTTATGCTGACCATTGCAGAAAAGACACCAATAGCATCAAAAGCAACTCCTTTAGTTACAAAATTCTTTTTTTCGTCAATGGTAATTATTGGTCTATCTCTCATAGCAACCTGTATAGTATTAAATTTGTATGAAAATAGAAATTCACGGAGCACTGCCCCTCGAATATTGAGAGTAATTTTATTTGAATACGTAGCTCCCTTTTTATATGTGAATTTTAATAAAGATTTATTACGATCCAATAACATTTTGTATCAGGTAAAGCAAGGTAATATGAAAACTCAAAACGGACACTTAAGTAAACCATTTTTATCAAATAGAGCACAGACATGGTGTACAATTCCGCAAAGTCAAAATCACATTTTGAGTGTGCCAAAATGCATTATAAATGGAATAAAAGTACTTGCTGATCGAGCTAAAAAACGCAACGAAGAAGAGTTTAAAAGTGAGGAATGGGTTACAATTGCAAAGATTTTTGATCGATTGTTTTTTATAGTTTTTCTTTTCACTATTGTATTATCAGGAGTGTTTATTTATTCAAATCGATCCTGATTTAACATTTTTCATATCTGATTAACATTTGGTCAACTCATGATAAAATTTATCATATTACTTACAAACTTATAACAATGAAGAAGTAGTAAGAGTATTAGTAAAGTTTGCTGTGAAGACTCACTCTAGCTTTTTTCTATATTATATATTAAATAAAGTTTATAAAATGTAAATTCACGGAGCACTGCCCCTCGAATATTGAGAGTAATTTTATTTGAATACGTAGCTCCCTTTTTATATGTGAATATAATTTGTTTAATATATAATGTTGCGTATAACATAGCATAAATTATATTTTGTAACTTAATAAAAAACTTTATTTTCTCATTTTTTTTGTTTTAACTGTATATTTTGATAATATGACGTGACTATAAAAGTCTATCTGTGACACCATTGCCTATATTTATGTTTACACAGTTTGATAATATTATTGTTATTATTATTGTTGTTGTTATTGCTGTAGTTATTTTTACTTTTATTGTTGATGTTATTATTATCATTGTTATTTATAACAAGCCTCAAAAAAATAGCATCAAATTCAAGTGATTAAATCTTAGTTCAATAGGCCAGGTGAATATAAAAAAGCAATTGTTTTTACTCAATTGGTCAGTTTTACGCAAATAAAAACTTTTGTAGTTTTGAACAAATTTTTATTCACGTAAAGTAAAGCAGTTTACTTAGTAATTGCTCAATTTTACGCGAATAAAAACTTCAGCAAAATTGCTGAAATTTTTATTCACTTAAAGCTGACCAATTACTGAGTAAAAGCGAAAATTTTTTCCCCCCAAAATAGTCTTATATAAAAAATTTTAGATTTATTAAAAAAAAAAATCTACTTTAATTTTTCAACAACTAGTTTCTGTTGTTGAGTTTTTTTACAATCCCTGATACATAATACTTCAATACTCACTTCAATACTCTATGAAAAATGTTGATTACTCGAAGGATTTTATCTGATAGTCTCCATCTCTTCCAAAAAACTTTTTTTGTTTTAAATTTGCTATTATCATTACATATTACACATTTAATTTGCATTTTCATTTACAGAAAAAAATCAGTAAAGATTTTATTAAGCAAGTTCAAGATTATTGTTTAATAAACTCTTTTCGCGTAGTAGGGGTTTTATTTATTCGCTTGAAATAATCAAAAAAAATTTTTTTTTTATAGACAGCAATTTTTTAACTTACGACAATTATATTAAGAAAACAATATTGTTTTTACAGTGTATTAATGTGTATCTTAATATACTGTAAAAACGATATTTTATCAAAATAACTTTTATTTTTATGATTAAAAAATTTAATTTTTAACATATTTTAATTTATATTAATAATAAAATTTAAATTCGGAATACTAATATTTTCCATTTAACAATTAATATATATATATATATATATATATATATATATATATATATATATATATATATATATATATACATATATATATATATATATATATATATATAGATATATATACATATATATATATATATATATATATACATATACATATATATATATATATATATATATATATATATATATATATATATATATATATAAATATATATATATATATATATATATATATATATATATATATATATATATATATATATATATATATATATATATATAGATAGATAGATATAGATATATATACATATATATATATATATATATATATATATATATATATATATATATATATATATATATATATATATATATATGTATATATATATATATATATATATATATATATATATATTAATATATATATATTTTAATATATATATATATATATATATATAGTATATATATATACATATATATATATATATATATATATATATATATATATATATATATATATATATATATATATATGTATATATATATATATATATATATATATATATATATATATATATATATATATATATATATATATATATATATATATATATATATATATATATATATATATATATATATATATATATATATATATATATATATATATATATATATATATAACAACCATATTGTTAATTATCGAAAAAAATATTTTACAAGAAGGATTAAATTTTTGACAAGTAATTATTGCTTATGCCAAGTAATCTTACTTGGCTAAGACTTTTTTTTTTTATTATTATTTTTTTTTTTAGTGATAAATCAAAATAACAATTTTAGAAGTTTTGCCTGATTTCAAAATATTCAATATGAACTAATCTGGCTAAAAGCCAGCTTCAAAACTAGTTTTATTATAAAAAATAGTTTCTTGTTACAGAAAATTTGTAGGATATAGTAAGTTTAATCGGAGAATTTTAGCGGTTTAATTTGTAATGTATTTTTCAGTGGTTGTTGTGCGCCTTATATGAACGTTGTATATACTATTCATATTAGAAGAAAAACGTTATTTTATTTCAACAATTTAATTGGTCCATGCTTCCTTATAACAATGTTGTGTTTGTTTACGTTCCTTCTACCGCCAAAAACTGGGGAACGCGTTACTTTAGTTATAACTACGCTATTGGCAATGACGGTTTTTATGCTTACAATTGCGGAGAAGACACCAATGACGTCAAACACTACTCCTCTCATAGGACAATTTTTTGTTTCTTCCATGGTAACTATAGGACTTACTCTAATAGCAACGTGTGTAGTACTTAACCTGTACGAAAATAATCATTCTCCCAGTACTTTGCCTCGATCAGTAAGAGTAATTTTACTGGAATACTTGGCTCCTTTATTGCGTATAAAGTTTAACAAAGATTTTCTCCCTTCAAATGTAATGCAACATAAAAAAAAAATATTAAAAGATTTTAAAGCTGAAAACGGACACACTCAAAATCCGCTTTTACAGCCCAGAGCACAAACATGGAGCTCAGTAACACCAAACCGACAAAACATCTTATGTGTACCAAAAGGAATAATGGACGGGATAGGAATACTTGCGGACCGAGCTATACAGCGTAATGAAGAAGAACGCATAAGCCAGGAATGGGCAACAATTGCTAGGATTTTTGACCGATTATTTTTTATTGTCTTTTTAATCACTATTGCATTGTCAGCCGCTTTTATTTATTCTAATCAAACATAGCAGAACTAGAATACTAAATCTCATCAATAAACCTTGAAAATCATTAATAAATCTTCTATGAAAATAAATTTCAATCTTTTATTTATAAAATATTTCAATATCAGTGTAATATTATGCTTATTATTTGTGTTCATGCTAATTGTTTATATTAATTGAAACTTAACGAATTAGTAGTTAATTTAAAATTGAGAATAAACATTATAAATTAGTATTTGGGCTTTTGATAATCTAAGAGGATTTATAAAACATTTCACATGCAATGGTTTTTTTAAAAAAAGCTCAATGTATAATTTCTTTTTATTTAAGATTTGTAATTTTTTTTATTTTGGTTGAAGTAAAAAAAAATGCAAATAAATATTATGTCCAATATCTCATAGCGGTTATATAACTTCACAAAGTCATAAATCCGAATGATGAAATACATTTTAAAACGCCTTAAAATATTCACTCAATATTTGGAAAATTAGTAATTTGATCTTCGTTATCTTAGCCTATATCATTGAATGGTTTATAATTATATTTAAGATCATTGTACAAATATTACATCTAAATAACTATATAATTACATCTAAATAATTATATAACTACATCTAAAGTGTATATAGCCTATATCATTGAATGGTTTACGAATATTTATATCTTAGATCATTATCTTAAAACCATTAAAAATCTTAGATTTTTAATGATTTTAAAAATCAAATAATTACCTTTAATATAATTTGAGGCTTATTTTATATTAACTATTCGGAATTTCTAAATAATGATTCATAAAAAAAAATCAAAAAAAAAAAATTGACGTTTAAAAATTATAGCTGAAATGCCTTTAAACAAAACAACACGAAAAAGGCAACTTATTTAAATAGGAGTAGCGTTTACCAACAAACAAGTTTGTTACCACTAAAGAAATTCAGCAATACTTTTTGTTCCTCCAAAAGTCAAAGATTTCTTTGTTATCCTATAAAAGAAAAAAACTTTTAAGCTTTCTTTCTCTCAAAAGAACATAGATTGTTCATTTTTCGTAACTAGTTACTAAATTGGCGCAACAAAATTCGAATGAAAAAAAAAACTGAAAATAATTTCTCCTGAGAGCGATAGATAAGTCTTTGATCTTAATTAAACATAAATTAAATTATTCATGCAATAAATGGCTTTTATGAACTATTGTTTTAGATCGAAACTGCAAAGTTTATAGCTGTCACAATGTTAAGATTCTCTTCTTAACATTGTGACAGCTATAAACTTCAAATAATTACCTGTAGCAAGAAGTTCCGAGTTTGATCCCCACTATATTCCTGGTGGTACCGCGCTCAAATACAAACTTTAAAAAACAAGGCTGCGCTAGCTACTCTGCGCATCGGTCTTGGTCGTTTAGATTCGTGTTTCGGAATTAAATATGTAGCCTCTTCGACTGTAGTAAACTTCTCGGCCTTGGGGAGGTGAATAATATTAAATTAAAAAAACATATACAAAAATTCAAGTAAACCCGTTTGTATAGGTCCGATACTATATATTTTTCGGCTAAATTAAACGAAGGAGACGATGTTATATTTTTAAAGTTCAAGACGGAAAAGAGGATTTGATGCATTTGAGGCATTGAATACATTGCTTAGCTTTATGTTTGTTTTTTCTAAGTATGAATATCATAAAAAATCTTTTATGATATTCATACTAAGAAAAAAAAATAATTTGAGCAGCCGTTGCGCAGTGGTAGTGCAGCCGTTGCGCACTTGCCTCAGAAACGTAAGATCCGTGGTTCAAACCTCACCTCTGGGAAAGTTTTGGCATCGGTTGGGAAGGAGGTCTGATCTTCCTACTTCTTTAAAAAAAAAAATCATATACAATGGTAATTTATTGTTGTTGTTTTTTATTTCAAAACATAGTCTATAAAGTGAATTCTATAAAAACTACCCCAAAAACAGCAATAATACTTCCTTTCTTTATGAGGGTGTTGTAAAGATTTATAACTATTTGAGAAAAATTTTTTTTTTTTCAGTATCTAGTTATAATCCATAGGTAATAGAAAAACTATATTTTGCTAACTTATTTTCTGATACGGCTTCTAGGCTCCTACAAAACAAAAAAACTTCACATTTTTATAATTGAAGTTTTTACTCTAGTGCAAATACCAAAGTATTTAACAATTAAAAAAACCACTAAATTTAATTTATAGGCTGACATATTATCATAAAATATCAAGTTTTTTAAATCCCGAATCTTTTTCTACATGCTAGGTCACTTAAGACAACATTGTGGTTTTTGCGGTACGGTTGTTTTTGCGGTACGTATACCTGTATTGA